ATTTCTTCGTTGAATGAGTATAAAATTCTTCATAAACTGATGGTCATAAACCTGTTGACTTAGGTTTGAGCTGCTTAGAAAAAAAAGAAACTTTGGCAAACCTAGAGGATCTTTCACGACTTTGAAATATTTTAGATCTGTAGAGGGTTAAGGATAAGCACTGGCGGTTAGTGCTCTGCAGCATCATCTAAATTGAAACTCAGAACGGCTTTTTATTATGATTATTCTAGGAAACCATGGTTCCTATTACACAATAGAAGTTTTTATCTGACAGCTAATAGACGGCTTTCTAAAACAGAAAAAAAGAAAGGAAAGAGTACATTTGTTAACCTTATGCTTGAAAAAATGAGAGATTGGGCACACAATTTCACCTGTGGCTTTCCTAGTAAAATTGATGGTAGCTGTATTTAGTAAATATTTTTTGTCTTATAAGTCTTTATCATAGTGCGTAAAGCGATGGAAGATTAAATTTTCGATCACCTAAAATATCTTGAATTTTTTCGTATTTTTTATTGGATTTAGACTACATACGTTCTCCAATGTATCGTCGAAGACTAGATAACTTTCAGAGTAGCTCTCAAAAGATTAATTCAAATTTTTATGCCAAAAAGAATCTAGAACCATTGGCAGCTGCTTCTACATCTACATCCAGCAAAGCAAGAATTAGAAGTACATATCGTCATATTTTTATTGGTGCAATTTCGCGTTTTGTACCATTAATTCGAGTGCCAGCCTATGCTGACATATCCGATCGGTTCACAATTTGCGCGCGCGTTCGACCCTTTCTCGAACAAGAAAGTCTTCGACACGATGTATACGAATGTGTCACCACAACTAATGATTCAGTGACTGTGCATGCTGGAAATGTACGACTGAACAAATTTGAGATGAAGCACACAACTTTCTATCTAGATAAAGTTTTCGGAAAATATTCAACCAATCAAGATGTGTACAATATCGTTCAAAAAGTGATTGCACAGTCGATTCCTCGAAAAGACACAATACCAATTGATTCCACGATTTTCTTATACGGTAAGACCGGAACGGGGAAATCGCATACTATCAGTGGAATTGCTGAACAGTTTGCCCAAGATTTATTCTACCTTATTGAAAACTCGCAATATGACATACGTATCGGAATATCTGCTGTCGAAATTGTAGCAGGAACCAAAGGATTTATCGTTTCAAAAGATGATGTTTGTGATCTTTACAACAATGGCGCATCCGTTTACTTTCGTGAAGACATGTATGGAACAGTACATCTTAGAGGAGCAAAGGAACATGCGTGTGACAATAGCACTCAGCTGGATACGCATATCAAGCGAGCTATAACAATAAGGCGAACGCAAGCGACTACGCGCAACGCAGAATCATCTCGATCTCATCTCATTTATTTTGTTCGCGTACGTATGGCTGCCAATATCTTGCAGGATGGAGAACTGCTTTCTACAATCACATTTGTAGACTTAGCAGGTAATGAAGGACAACAAGATTCTTTATATCATAAGGCGAGCGGTGATCAAATTAAAGATTCTACTTCAATCAACCGTAGCTTAGCCACATTACAAGATTGCATACGTGCTGCAGCAGTTGAATCGAAAGTTATTCCGTTCCGTGGAAGTGTTTTGACTCGTATTCTCAAAAAGTGCTTCTGTTCTAAAGAAGCAAAAACACGTTTAATNATTTCGATTTCTATTCGGAATAATTGAAATTCAGCCAAGATCCTGATTAAAAAACAGTGATAATCTATTCAGGATCCTGCTGAAATCCTGCTTGTAATCTTGCCAAGTTCACGGAATTATGTGTCTACACACTTCTTTCAGGAATTAACGGTTTCCCATACGCTTCCTGACTCAAAAACAATCGTAATTTGTTCAACATCCTGATCGAATCCTATGTCAAGTCTTGCCAGAATGTTGAAAATCTGTTTCCACACCCGTCTTTCAGCATTGGGTCCTTTCTTCAAGAAAAAAGAGAAAATCCTTAACGAATTCAGCCACGACACTGCACTTACATTTACATCCACTCAATCCAACACCCACATCCTCAAGTAACCGTAAACAGCCGATATAGCTGTAACTGATACTCATGACTTGAGGGCACTCACGATAATTAGAAGGCGCTCTTTCGACTGAAATCAATCGTTTTTCTAACATATTAAAAATATTCATTAAGTAAGATGTACAGATAAATCAAGCAAAAGAACCGCTGCTAACCGGCAAGTTTTGAACAGTTTTTACGTCACGGGTAGCGCATCAACACGACCAGAGATTGTCATACATTGGCGTATTGATTGACTTATGTACAATTGACCATGATTATAAATATCCTATTTGTATTAAGTGTTTCTAACACTTGCAGTGTCTCAGTACTATGTATATAGTATTCAACATAGTTTCTTTTCCTTTTCGAATCTTTCTAATAATATAACTTACCACAGTCAAATAATGACAACTGATAGGTTTGCTACTGATAGGAATTTTTTTGCGTCTTACACTCTTTGCTTGTTTTTTTTCGAATGACTCGATTCTTCCTTTTACAGCATGACAATGTTTTTGTTCCGTTCTGCGTGCTTTGCTTCTTTCTTTTTCGTTTTTTTCTTAATTCACTTGAAATATGCATTTTATTGAAAAGAACTGTGCATAGAAACAGTAGAACATTCACAGGATGCATAAGCAAACAGTAATGACAAAGAAGTCGAAAACTGACATAAGTATGCAACGAAATTCATTTCAATATGATTTTAGGTGGTTTAGATGGTTTAAAATTAGACAGTTAGTAGTAATAAATCATTTCATTGCATTCTTATGCGATGATTGAAATAATAATAATTTACTGAGCATAGCTGTTTTAAAAAAGAAGACCGTTTGTGATTCATGTTAAAATATTTGCAACATACATCGTCAGAAAAACAGGTTGAAAAATTAAGATCGTAAACCATAGCATACAAAAAAATACGGCGGATTACGGTGATAATATACGATGTTTGTATACGTCAATCGTATACGATGTAATTCGATGCTATACGATAGTTGTTAACGATTGTTCAATACAATCATCATAAGCGGCAAAAGTATACAATTGTATATTTGTTGTGTTCAACGCTAAGTAACTCTTTTATACAAAAAGAGTTTTTAATATTTATATCTGTTAAAACCGCACAATGAACAGTAAATATACATTGTTAGAAGAAACAAGTTTTCTATGTACGATCCCACTCGATGGCACAACGATTAGTGAATACTATTTTCAACTAGTCTTTTTTACTTTTTTATTCGAATTTATATCAAGAAGGGAACGAACAGTAAGCATAAGAGTGTGGGTGTCCGTGTGCGTGTGTGGATGAGTATGGCTGTGGGTAGAATGACAAGGAGTGTAACAGCCGATCCACCCGGCACCTACTCACAGCCACACTCACACACCAACCACACCCATATCCACTCTCACAAACACTCCACATTCACATCTACATCCACACATCTACACCTACGCCCAACTTAACGGTATACGAGAGTATTATTCTCGCTAAGAATCCTTTCTATATGAAAAAATCGAGTACAGAATACCGAGAAACCCGTCACAGCTCAAAACCCCTTGATCTTAGTTAGCTTTAGAGGAACATTAAGAAAATTTATTGCTTTTGATAGAAAAATTCTCCTAGGAGGATGCGAAAAATTCATATTTCTGAAGGGGTCACAGGCTAAAAAGTGAGTAAAAGCTTGTTAGAACAGCTCCTTTGGAGCTGAAATGTGAAACTCACATATCTTCTTAAGTTTGATTAGGGTATGGGTGTGGGTATAAAATAAAACTTGAATCACATCAACCCACACCCACATCCCACATCCCGCACCCTCACTCACATCCACCCCACCCACACCCAAAGAGAACATCCTATCATAAAAACAAAACGTGAAAGCAAGTTGGATTTGTTCGTAAGCATTTTCTTAAATGATTGAGCAGATTAATTTCAATCAAGCTCTATGTACCGATCAAGCTATATCTTGGTTGAATACAAATATGCCATTCTTTCTCTGTGCAGAATTAAATTGAAAGAGGTTGAAATTAAAAATAGACATATTGAATCTTTTCAAGCTATATTCTCTTTCATTTACTAAAGGGACCGATAAAAGAAATTGTACATCTGTACGTATGGATATGTGCCAGATATGAAAACTGCGAAATGCTTGAAGCAAATAGACGGCACAGGGCTAATGTATGCAATATCAATTCAAAATTGAAATGATGCTACACGCGACTAGAAAATTGATTTGCGGTAGAAAAGTCTGACTCAAATCATATATAATGACATGAATCAAATTCGATTTGATTCCATAGAAAAACACAGATGTAATGAAGAAAGGAGAGACTAAATGTTACAGGCTTCTACGTAGTAGCCTTCATACCATTATTGTACATTCTTCGTTATTCGCGTTCTCTCTCTCTCGGTTGACATTTTCTCTTTGCACACACACTACTCTCTTTGACTTTTTTCGTCCCTATCAACGTTCACCATCGTCCTTCAAGTTACACACGTATATATGCAAAACAAAATAATCTGATATGCAAACATAAGCCATAGTTTGTTTATCTACTCATTGATGTCTATCTTTTCATATGTATCTATGTTTGCCTAAATGTTGCAAATCTGTTTAAATAGCATGTGTGTGATAAAGAACAAAAAAACATAGGGGTAGTCTCTTTATTGTTTTATTTGTTTATCAAGGCATCAAGAATAATAATAATAATAATAAATTCTTCAGTACAATGTTTGTATGTGTTATTCGTTTCATTTAGTGAGAAGTACGGCTTAATTGTCGATTGAGAGTATACAGTTGAGGACTATCAATGTAGCTATCACATGCATAGCAAAAGACTGAATGATCCGACAAACTCAAACAAATGTTATGTCCAGTTGTTTCATGATGATTCAACATATGTTTTTGATGATAACGAGAGCAGCCAATCTAAACAGAGAAAACAATATATATGAAAATACATATTTAAGTTGTCGACAAATGTCTCACATATTGACAATTATCATGTAGACATGCCCAGTTCTCTTCCGTTTTACCACAATCAGCACATGGTGGTTGTTGACCATCAGCGAGTTCAGTCGACTGAACCAATACATAGGCACGATCACCCAAATGAGGACAATCGTACTTTGGCTCAATGACAAATGGCTAAAAGCACAAGACACAAAATGCATATTACATTTGATCACTATAGTACTCTTACGTACACCTTTCCTATTGTCTTCATTCATCTTTTCGGAAGACGCAGTCTTGCTTGATTGAGCCATTCTTTTTCTTGACAGTTGACTATGAGTATGTGACTTAAAACGATCGAAACTTCTGCTTTTTATACGTTTGCTGACATTGTTTGCACAAGTATGGTGAAAGAGAGAAAGAAACGTGGAGAAAGGTGTCATGTGTCATCAATGGTTACTTAGTCATTCTTAGCCCAAGGTTACGTGAATTGTTGTTATTCTGCTGATAATATGAAAGAGAACAGCCTCATAAGAGAGAAAAGAAATAGAGAATGAATCACATGTATCTTTTTTACCTATACAAACTGATCTCTCATGTGATTCATTTGCTATTGATTGCGACCACACTACGAAAACGCTTGGAGTCATAATTGCACTCAAATTAAGACGCAATGAGCGTTGGGTAAATTTTTGATTGGTGACAAAAATGCTGATTCTAAGCGTAAAAATCACTCACAGGTCAAAAATGCTCCTCTCATAAGCAATAGACGAAAATTAGTGCGATCCGAAATATCGCTAAAATAAAAAAAATGCCCTTTTTACATCCTAATTTCACTATATTCTCAGAAAGAAAATGCAATCTCATGGAAAAATGAATTCATATATTGAAAAAAATGGTCAGTTAATTTAGAATAGTGTTATAATGAAGATAAATAATGCTTTGATTCTTTTCAAACTTCTATAGATATCTTCAGCGGAAAAATGTAAAAAAAGAGGAGAAATGAAATTATCTATTAAAAAAATGATCAGTTATTTAGTAATGATATTATAGTGTAGAAGAAAAATGCTCCAATTCATCGTTACTAGAGAAGTTTTAATTTTGAAACTGTTTCATATAGACTAAAAAGTAATGAATATGTCTTGTTCATCGATCGGTATATTTTATATTCCATCCCATCATTCTTTTTATTCTAACGTACACCGTAGTGGATATGAACGAAGAAAGAAAAGTATACATGATAATAAATAAAGTAGCTTTAATTATTTCGCTAATACATTACAAGAGGACATCTTCTGACGAGAAGCACTATGAATGATACAATACTGTAAGCGAAAGCTACCATTTTTGACCCAGTAGTCATTTTTCCGCTTCAAACTATCATTGTTTCCATTGATTTAAAAGTTGCCTACTGCTATTCTCTATCCTGCTTCGGTAGTAACTCGAAATTTGGATGAAGGTTTTAGTGAAAATCCATAGCGACACAAGCTGCAAATACTGCGTTTTTCACTTATCTTCGAAACTGTTCCTATTTTTGTAAATGTGGCAGCAAGCATACCTGCGAATCTTCCGCAGCGGCAGGACAGATTGGCGACATCCATCCAGCTGCCACCACACAACAGCACCAGTCAGGGTGTGGGTGGGTGTGGGTGTGGTGTGGGTGTGTGGAGTCTGAAGTGTGGAGCGTGGGTGTGGGTGTGGGTGTCGGTGTTCATCAGCTCTTAATCCATAACCACACCCACACCCACACCCATCCCTGATTTCTTTTTGAAACCAAGTGTATGTTTTTCAAAATTCAGATTGAAGTTAAATATCCCATAGTATTGCAAGGAATTAGCCGGTTTCTTTCATACTTTATTTTACTATTCCCTATATAAATTATCTGAAGTATCATTCTTTCATATTGCGTCGAGTTTTGTATAGTATCATTTAGTGGCATTTACACTACCCAAACATTTCTCCAGAGAAAAAGACTAAAATAAGCTGCTTGCATTTTTCGGAAGCTTGAAAAATACGATGAAAAACAAATATTTTCGAAAATTCGTGAATACTAACATTTATTTACACTCACGAAATACGTCTCTCACAGCTGAACAAAACTGTTTCCTTAGTTTGCCAATATTGTTTGAGCCCTGTCACATACCCAAGAAATCGGAAAAGCCGAATAAATGCAGATATTTGCAGGAGATGCCAGACTAACTACAAATTGACGTCACCATTACACCTTCTCCTACACTCACACTTGTGAGCGATGTCACTGTTGGAGATGCCGCATCTCCTTGCACTTCTCCAGCTTCTCCGATTTCCTGGATACGTGGGCCTGCTGTGAAACATGTACAAACTATGTAAGAGTTCCTGTTTTAATTGAACCAGCAACTGCTCCATTTTTCTCGCTTGTGACACAAGGTTAATTGTATTTGATCTTTTTAGTAAAATCGAGAAAAAAAACATGCGATAATTCGTGAAAGAGTAATGGCGGGGAATACTTCCAAACTTCTGTATAGCCTGAGCGGAGAAAACATTATTTTGCGATTTGAATGTAACGGTAGGAGATAACATAAATCTGATTCTCACTGTTTGATAGAGCATGCCAAGTGCTACGTAGAACACAAAGATGAAAATCTGAAACGGTCCCTGCGCGCATATGGGCACTCTTAAAAATAAGAAATTTGTGGAATCTTGCTGGTCTCTAATAGATTCTGACTTTTAACTTATTATAAACCTTCAGAAAAAGACTTCGTGCAAGAAGAAATAGTTCTAAATGTCTCTGCGAAAGATTTTTGTTTGTTCCGAACCATTTTCCAAAGTTTCTGCTACCAGGTAAAACAGGAAACTCCAAAGAAGCCTAGAAAGTCTATACACTTCCCTATTTTCTGCAGAACAGGAATTGCTTGCATTTGACACTTACTTCACGAATGTTAAAATTTAATATCAGCAAGTTATAGCAAGTCTTTTATACTGAGAAAGGTCAAGATCGAAAGTTTAGACATAATTTTACTTGAAAGCTAGCTACCTATAGGAAAAAATCCTTTAAGACTAGAAGTTTCGTCCGAATTCTAACAAGAGTACAAGTCCTTGGATGATTTCTCTAATATAATAGTTCGCTATGGATGGGTTTAATTTGAATGTAAAGAGATCGTTATCTAGTTACTGGTATAACTTAGGGAGAGAAAAATGTTCTGAACACTGACATAGTAAAAGGGTTTGTGAGCGATATTGCAATACCAAAAGACTTACGTCTACTTCTTGTAATAACGCGACGAATATTATAATGAAGATTGTAATACATTGATAGAGTATCGATGTTGTTTACTAAAGAAAATGAAAGCAGTATTTTTTTAAATGTACCTGTCGAAAAAATATTTGGCTTGGGTGTATTCAACCATATACGTGGGATAAAGCATGATCATATATTATTGAGACAGACTTGGCTTTTTCCCCATAAAGAAACTATCATTCTTTTGTTTATTCTATCACTTATCGATCAGACAGCTTCACTAATGAAGAAAGATAAAGCTAATCGATGGTTGGAAAAATGTGTATTATACCATGACTTTATTTATTTTTCTTCCTATCGTTGCACAGGATAGGAAAACATTCAGGCTTCACAAGCAATAGTATGTTGTTTTATACTGTTCATCTTGCTAACACCGAGTTTAAAGGTCCGTTCTGTCTATGGAAGTAAATATTGCTTTTCCCTGCAACTTTTTGAAGCATTTCCTGTCCATACACATGTTCCTTGCCAAAGATCGGCATTTGAATCAAGTCTTAACCTCAGGATCGTTTCTGATTCTTTCAGAAACCTGAAAGCCCATTTCAGCAGCTGCCTCGGCTACCATCGTCGTGTGTATCGTTGCTTTGATTAAAATTCCTTTTCCAATCTTTATTTTCGTTTAAGTTGCCGTTCAAATCGCCATTCTGCTACCTATTTTGGTGAGAAGTTAGTTTCATATACAACTTACAGTCTCAGTCAGAGTCAGTTACATTATCAACTTCAACGTTAGTAACCCAGTCTATCGGACTGGTTCAATTTAGTACGGGCTCCGTAAAGCCGAACTTCTTGTCCGTTTGTCACTTGTTATTATATGTCATCTCAAAATTTTTCATAAGCCAGTACTCATTTTTATAGCAGCTGCAGTTGATTTTTGTCCTCAGCTTGGATCTCAACTTTATAGTGTACTACGACTTTGATTAGAATCTCAATTAGAATGGTAGATGTGCTTTGTGACAAATAATGTATCTAGCCTTCCCTACAGTTCGGGTTTTAGAACTGTACGCGATAGCTTTCCAACTTTCTGTAAGAATCGTATAGACCACTTACGGTTCTTTTATGCAGGAATTCAATTATACAAGTGGACATTTGCAATTGATACGCATCGCTCGTCATCCGTTCATCGATGCATTGTTGATGGTTGAAGTTCGTCATGTTTACACATTATCGAAAAGAATCTGTACCATTGCTGCCCTGTTTCATAGCGATGAGCCGAGCACGTATAGTGGTAGGGAGGGCAACCTTCTGCGTCACTAATTTTTCTTTTCCTACGTTAATTAGGAAATGCATCTGTGTACTACGTGAGTCATTCTGAAAGTTTTTAGATTTGCAATACTGTTAGCTTAGTTTGAAAGAATTTTATTATATTTGTTCGAAGTAATGTCCTTGTGCACTAATGCACTTATTCATTCTTTCAAACCACTTTTCATAGCATTGGTAGAAATCATCTTTTTGAAGATAGTCTATTTGTGTTCTGACAGCATCATGAAGTTCATTAATATCCTGGAAGTTTTTACCACGAAGTTGCTCTTTAATTTTTGGGAACAGCCAAAACTCACACGGACTTAGATCTAGTTAATATGCTGGATAGCCCATCAATTTGACGTGTTGAGTATCTAAATATTCCATTGTTAGTGCTGCCATCTATGCAGGTGCATTGTCATGATGAATAAGAAGACCATTGAGACGTCGATATTTCTCCACTTGTTTGAGCACCTGTGTAAGACATTTATTTGCATACCACTTAGCTGTAACTATTTTACCATTTTCAAGAGGAATGATTGTATTAAAACAGGACTTCATGAAGAAAATTGCAAACATTTGTTTACCAACAGAACGTTGTCGACGAACTTTAGTTGGATGAGGATCATTGCTTGCCACCCAAACTTGACTTTGACGCTTCGTTTTTGGATCATAATAGTAGAACCAACTTTCTTCACCAGTGATAATATCATACACACGTTTTGACTTGCCGCCGTCGAATTTTTCGAGCTTTTGTAGGCAATAGTCAACACGGTCCTGTTTTTGAGCTTCACTTAAAGAATGTGGCACTCAAAGACATGTAACTTTTTTTAAACCAAGATAATCATGAAGAATAATTTCAGTTGATGCCGATCCAATCTGTAAAGTGTCTTCTATCTGTTGACATGTGATATGTGGATCAATGTTTACCAGTTCACGAACAGCTTCGATGTTTTCTGGAGTGACTGCAGTTCTTGGTCGACCAGCACGAGGTTCATCTTCAAAGTGATCCCTGCCACGACTGAATTTAGCAAACCAATTGTAAACTGTGGCACGAGAGACACAAGAGTCACCAAAGGTTTTGTGTAATGATTCAAGACATTGCTCTTGTGATAATTGTTTTTTGTAATCATAATAAATCATAACTCTAATTTATTCTCGTTTTAGATTCATGACTATGCAAAAAAAATATATCAGCAGTGAATTACTTAATCTGCAAAACAACCAAAGGAAAAATGTCTAAGAGCTAAAACTTTGTACACTTTATTCTAAGACTTGGGTCTACTACCACAACTACCAAAGTCTAAGATATCTCTTAATTTAATAAAGAATCTAAAACCATTCAGAATGACCCACGTATGTATATGTATATTATTATTATTATTATTATGAATATAAAAATGTTTATAAAAGAAAATTTTTTACTTTTTATTTATGAAATATTAATCTCAACTAATAAAACTACTTAATAAAATTAAATTTTCTCATTCGTGAACAAAATTAAATGTTAGTATACAGAAATATCCTTTCTTTTGAGGGTGTTGGTGTTGATCTTGTCTTCACCCACACCCAAGCTCTTGCAAAGTGAAGAAAGGATGTGGGTGGATGTGAGTATGGTTGCGGCTGCGGCTCTGGCTATAGATGGTTGATTTAATTAATCATGCACACACACCCACATCAACACCCGAAGGCACACGCAGCCACATCTACAGCCGCACCTACACCCACACTCTTACTAGATATGTAAGTTTTACGTATAAACTAACACACTTTGTTACACCGGTAATGGTCAAGAAGCAAAGTTCTGAATTGACTTCCCTAAATAGTTGAAATCTTAGAAAAAATTTAGTAAAACCTGTCGTGCATATTTGAAATACATTTTAAAGAAAACATAGTGTTTAGTAAAATAGTGAACAATGCAGCAGTATGATATTGTACTAAATAGTTTACGTTAATCGTATTAGAAAACGCGTAGTTCATTGAGATCATTATTTTTTTACTTTATTGGTTCTTTTTCAAAGATGTTGGGATTTTTCCATATTTTTTGTATGGTTAGATGAGTAAAATATCATCATTTTTTTATATGATATTTATGTTTCAAGTCTTTCAATTTAGCCTAGTGTTTGTACTTCCCAAAAATTTTAATCAATAATTACTATATCAAAATAATGTTATCATGTAGTAATTTTTATTATTATATCACTTGTTCAGTAAAACAAATATCGTGTTCGAAATCAGTACGATAGACTACTACGTTTAATTCCATTGTTCTACAAAAATCTTATCTGCAATAGTTTTTCCTCTCTTTCTATATTTTACTTGTTCATTGTAATGTTAACTTCGAGCTCCGCACGCTAGATGTTATGAGCACCGGTTGTGATATGGATGCAGTAAGATAGTATGTTTTGTCTTTCTGTTATGAAACCATACGTTATGTTTTTTTTTATTCTTTTTGATCAGTTTTTGCCCATTCAATACTCAACTAATCCGTCTGAAAAGAGAGAAATAGCATCTGGTTGTACTTATTTGATTTTAATTGACTGAAACATTCAGTTCACTATTTTTTAAATAACAGAAGCATACTACAATAAAAGTTCAAAAACGATGAGTGTCTGTCATTGGCCTAACCCGATTAATGTCACGAGGCAGAAAGCTAAGAATGATATACAAACATTTGAGAATACTTTGTCGAATATTTGGTGTACTCTGACAGAGAACAATAAGCATTAAAGTCAACGCAAGATTCCCAATCAAGAACAAGACCCGCATACAATCATGAGATATAATATCAGAGCGAATTGTGTCTAGTATTATCAAAATAATCGCTGGAATGCCAACGAAAACCAATCCAAAATTGAGCAATACAATACGATGGACTATTATCAAATCTCGACACATTTGTAGTTGGCGATTTCCGCTGACTCTTAATGAAACTTGATGCACATAATTTAGCAAAAGACGGTATACGACAGCAAGAACAATATTTAATATAACAAATATTGCAATACCCATATATAATGAAAGATCTAATCTGGATAATGAAACAAAGCATACATTATCTATAGTTAATTTCACCATGTTTCCTGTTAGAAAGACTGGTAATGTAAAAGTAAAATCAAATATCCACTGAATAAGAATAATGGCCACTTTTCGAACTTGATTATCAATAAATTTGATTCGTCGAATCTTAAAATACTTTTCTATTGATTGCAAAATCAATGAATGATGAATACAATCCATAGTTGAGTGAAGAATATAGGGATGCAACGCACAAAGAGTATCGACGTTCGTTGCTAACTGTTGATCCCAAATAAGCATGTAGACAGCTATCGTTATATGGTTAGCTGAGAATACTAAAACAACTATAATAGTATTACAAATTGATAATGTAGAAAAATTAAAGCATCGTTTTCTGTAAATAATAACAATCATTAGACGACCGAAGGCTATTATAACATTGAAACAACAAATGATCATATATAACCGATTGATAAATGCAGAAAAATTCATGATGTAGTAACCTTAAATTTAGGAATTCGATCAAGTTTAAATCAAGCTGATTGAATCTACTTTTCGCTGACGATGTTGGTCTCGACTAGATATTTGATTTGAACGAATGTTATCTTCAGGACAAGGCCAAGAGTGACTATTTATATTGTACTTATTTTCACTGTTTATCAAAAAAATGAGTAGTAGCTGTTGATATAAGAAAAAAATTAACTAGGGTCATGTTATGATGTTCTTGTCACGAGCGACTGACTTATTTGCTATAGAAAAAAACTAAAGAACATTGTCCCCTTTATAAATGAATAGCATTTTAATCTTATTATATATTAAAGATAATACCGTGCTTATTATGAAGACATTAGATATATTCTATGCAAAAAAGGAAATGAAAAGAAGCTCCTAGACAATATGAATTGAAAGTGAGTTAAAACATCCTCTAGGTGTTTTTCATGTCGAACTTCGTTTCTAATTTTTTTTTGTTTTACTCGACGAGACTCAAGAAACCGGCGTTTTATCCCAATTTTGAATTAAGATTTGTCATAGAATAGGATCTGCATTGATATAAAATGTTATTTCTCTGCATTATCGAAATCAAAAATATGTTTATCTATCTAAACAGACATGTTTTCAGGTGATATTCGACAAGCTTCCTTCACCAGTCACAAGAACATGTAAAATGGAAACAATGAAATTCTTACCAATAGGTCGTGACCCCATCACAATTATAATTATGTGTGAACGAACTTTTCTTCAAGATAATACTATTTATTCTTGTAAAAAAAACTGAATAAGTTTAAGTCTTTTAGAATAGTTTTTACAGAATTTAAGTCTGAAATATACGATTAACGTTTCAATCTTCATTATTTTGTTGGTGTCTATTTTGCGGCTTTATTTATTGGTATATGTCCATATTTTTCGAGCCATTTCATTTCTTCGCGAAGTTTGATTTTTCCATGCCATGGATTAATGTCTATTGAGTGCCCTTCATTTGGAAAAAGTAATAGTTTTAAAGGTACATTCAGATAATGTAAACTACGTTCTAGTATTAAACTTTGATCAGATGGAACCCGAATATCCGTTGCACCAGTTATGATATGTGTGGGAGTTTGTACTGAACCTAGTTTATAAATAATTGATTCGTTATAAAAAATTTCCGGTACTTCCCATAGAAATCCACCCATTAAATCAATAAGAGGTTCAGGAAAGTCCGTTCGACCCCAAAAGGAAATATGCTCAGTCGGTCCAGCACCAGACAAAGCAGCATTAAAACGAGTTGTTTGTGTGATCAACCAGTTTGTTAAATATCCACCGTAACTATAACCTCCGACAGCCAATTTATTAGGATCAACAATACCATCTGCAATCAAACGGTCAACACCTATGAGAATATCTCTTCCTGGCCGAGATACTAATTGGAAACGAAGTTCATTAATAAATGCATCGCCATAGCCGGTTGAACCTCGATAATTGGGTTCAAGAACTAACCAACCTTGTGTAGCGGCTAATGGAGCCCAAGAATACCAGTTTGCTTGCAACATGTTTAGACTTGCATCTGTTGGACCACCATGAATAAGTACTAATAGAGGTAGATTTTTGCATTCAAATTTTCCTGGTGGATAATGTAGAATACCTTCGACTGTATGATCATCTTCGTTATTGATCCATTTGTATGATTTTGCTCGAGGTAAATTTCGTTGAGTAAGAAGTTGATTTTCAGAAGTGATAGCTTTAGCTAAATTTAATTGTTCAATATGATCAATAAAATAAACTTCTTCCGGTTGTTCGACAGATGAATAAACAAATGCAATTGCCGAAGATTCTTTTGATGATGAAGATGATATCTGATGATAAGTTCCTATCCATCCATGTTGTAATATCGAATATTTTGATGATGATTGTTGCAAATAAATTTCAACATTGATTCCTGATTGACCAAGTATATAAACACCACCTTGAGATCGAACCGTATACCCCCTTATACTTCCACCAAAATCTTTACCCCAACGTTCAATCTTTCCATTGATTAAATTGATGGAATATAGTCTTTTTTGTGTATTTGCATTTTTATCTTAACTCAGAATTGATGAGTCAACTATAAAAAAAACACATTTACCATCAGTTGATAGTTGTAAATTGCGCTCTAGTGCTTGATTATTTGTTAATCTGGATAATAAAGATACATTGCGCATATCCATTGAATAGATTTCTAAAGTATCTTTATTTTCGACAATAACTGATCGAGAAGCGAAGATAAGTTTATTTTCAGCTGGAACAAATAAGAGTTCGGCAATCAAAAAGTCAACATCAATTATGGTAATTCTTTTTACAGATACTTTTTGTTTTTTTCTACTAATACCAATACGATAAATGGTACTACCATCAGTCAATTTTCGGTGGCGATATCGAATTACATTCTTCCATTCAGATTCCAATGAATTATTTTCTTCTTGAGTAATGATGTTGAAACATAATAAAGAGACAAATCATCATATCCCCATGTCATAGCTAATGGAATTTCATTTGCAATATCAATCAATATAATCTCTTTCGAAATAACATTATACAGATGAAGATACTGTATCGATTTTGAATCCGTTTTGTTCGGATATTCAGTATGAAAATGATTTTCAGGTGATTTATTTTCTGTGTTTGTATCAGCCAAGAATGCAATCCAATTACCAGTAGGTGACCATTTTGGTGTAATACTTCTAGAAAGTTGATTAGTAATTAGTTTCTGTTGTCCTCCTTGTGTTTTATAGAGCCATAGTATATTGTCATATCGATTCGATTCCCATGCAGGACGCATACTATGAACTAGCAAATATTGACCATTGGGTGAAAGACTCAATGACGGATAATTGGTTGAATTGAGAAATTCATCAATAGTTAATTTTGGTGATGTCTGAGCTAAGCAATTAGACAAGAATTCGAAAAGGAATAGTATTAAATATAATTTCATTTCTGATATTCAAACTATGATCAGTATACAGGTTGATACGATATAATTTTTTTAGCCCCAAATGTTTAAATTAAAACCACCTCATAACAAATACAGGTGCATATATTTAACAACTTTGAATTGAATAAATTTCAAAAGAGATAAATTGTTTTTCTTTTATTTCTTGGTTGATATGTAATTTGGTGTCTTGGTTTGTTTCTGTTTTGATTATTTAGTGATTAACATTTCTCGTAATCACAAACACATGTTGATTTATAAAGATGACTGTAGAAGGACACATGGTCTTATTATTTGATAAAGATAAAAGGAAAAGAAAAAAGAAACGTAATGAAATAGCGTTCTATATTTGGTTTATGTCCTAACATTCACATATCAAGAGTGATTGAAGAAAAAGACTTTGAAAATTACAATACAAAGAATCCTGTCGGATAAGGATACAACTCTGTCATCCCGTGCAACAAAATTACATTCATGCTTGCCTAAAAGGCTATATGTTATTTAGAGTCCTACCAGAGTATGAAGTTCATTGTCTGAATTTCATCTCATGAACTGCTTTTTGTTCTACCTCTGCCCTATCCTACCTCATACTGAGAGATTCATATCCAACTACTACGATATACTCGTAAAAAATACGTTCTTTTACCGAACTTGTGTTTAAGGAAAGAATATTTCTGGTTCTATACGAAACTTGTGTTTTTTTTGCTTCAATGTACTAATTATCAAGGTTTTTTAAGTTGACATCCTTCAGCTTGACTAATTTATTTGTTATTATTATATATAAACAAAGGTTTTTTCTTGGTGCAACTGGAATAAATCAAGTTTGCTAAACAATATTTCAATTGTTTCAGAAAGAGTGAATGACAATACTACCAACATAGAGTTTTGAAAAATTTAAGCAGCATCATATGCTTCGATGCAGTCAAAAAATTACGTTTCAAAAAGTAAAAATCAAAAGTGTCAATTCAATTACACTGGCTTTTGAGGAATCATTTAGATGAGACTAATGATAGATCAGGATAATTTAGACCAAAAAGAATTTATTAAGTATCCAATGATGACATGTGAATGAAGGATGAATTAAAGCGCCTGCAAACAATAGGCAATTCCAGTTCTACGGCAAAAGTATTTATGGCCGTTTCTATTTACTATTCATAACTAATTTTGCTTCATATACCGTCTATTACTTAACAATAACTTTTAATTATGGAAGTATTTCTCAACATCATATTTGTTTTCTTTTTTTTAAATAAATTGCTCACGCGTAATCGAGTGTCGTAGATAACCTTTTTGACTTTTCCATTTTTCTTTACTACCTTTCAACTGATACGCGACTTTTTATCATGATTACTTCATTTTCATTTCTAACCAAAATGATAAAAAAAACAGATGGAAACAGTCGCAATGTCATAGTATAGTCGACTGAAGTGTCAATTTTCAATATCATTTACTTCGAAGATTTGCAAAATGATATTTTATATGGAGAAAAGAAAATCGGTAATAGAATAAGTATGAAACCAAGGTAAAGAAATGAAAATGACAGTCAATCTAACTGAATTTCTCTTCATGAGATTGCAGGTGACCTATGCATTCTATTCACTTTTGTTTGGGAAAACTTGTGAATCACATAGAATGTCTTATTTTTGTTTTTTTTCTTTGTTTTGTATATGATTTAGTTCTAATATAAACGAGATTTCAATCTCTTCTTTCGATCCAGAATATTTGCACGTTTTCCACAGGCATTATCATCGAACTATCATTAGTGTATTACGCATTACATTTAATTTTTAAAGCTGTGCATATTGATCTAGATCACCAATGATCTTTGTTAGTGTGATTCAGTCATACTTGGTTTGACTTGACTTTCTCGCTTATTTTCATTCTCGAACTAAACCGCAAAAAATTCGATCGATGGGTCTGTACTTTATTGAGACATAGTGTTTGAATCATTAGATGAACGAGAAAATTCGGTCTTAATCATGCGTAATGTTAATGAATCTGCAGTCATATCAACCATAAAATGAAAAATCTGACGAAATCAGGTCCACATTGACCTTCACATACATAATTATACTCTCAGTACATGATAGAATCAATTAGATTAAATCAAATAAAAAGTACTACTGTCGAATTAGTCTTGTTAGGCAAAGCATCGAATAGACTCAAGAGTGAGAAAGATTTCTAGGCATCGAAATAACGTTTTTGAAACATTCATCTGAAATGTATCGATGTCACCCATCAATTAATCATTCGCGACAGAAAAGGGAACGCACAATTAAAATGAAGTGTTTTTCTGGCTTGTAGCTACTTTTCGAGAAGAATTATAAAGCAAGTATTATGATCTCAGCGTCATTTAACGGTGACATCGATTCAAATTGGAATCAGTTGTAAGCTTTTAAAAATTACTTTATGTATCTTTTGATGTCATCAAATGAAGTCGTCCTTCACAGATAAATGAAAACATCTGCCCATAATTTTAGAGTATTAGCTTTTTTTCTATTATCACTCCGTAAGGTTTTTATTTCACCATTGAAGTCAATTTAATTGAAATTAAATCGTTTTACGCTTACGAATAATGAAAACCACCTTCTCTTTCTATCATTCGTAATCCTTCTTATAAACTAATGCATTCTGATTATTACCATAGTTTTCATTCGAAGCCTCATAGAACTGCATTTGGACGAAAGGAACTGATCATAGAACATACAAAATGAAAAACTGGCCATTGTTGGGTTATTTTATTGTCTATTGCATAACTGCGATCCGTTTTGGGCAAATAAATGGTGAGTATAGTTGATATACAAGTTTTCGATACTCGTCGCTGATCCTATTAAGTTTGCCGGGATCGACAACAAAAAAAGCAACAGCGACAGTCGAGTCTATACTAGAGGCATAACTCGCGCAAAATTCTATCACTTGATCAAATCTATTGTTGATTGACTGAGATCTTCGAAACGGATGTGCATACATAAGTTACCTTCTTCCAGATCAAACGAAATTGTATTCTTGTTTTTTTTATACTATTTTTCTTGTAATTGTATAATTAGGTCCCACTTTATGTGTTAAACTCATGGTTTAGTATTCACTCTTCAAAATCGGATCTAACATTTTGCTACGATAAGGAAGAGCACAGCTGAAAATTCAAAAGATGGAGATCTGAATTGTTAATGATAGAATTTACAAATCTAATTTGTCATTTGTACAACAAGTATGGTTTGTAAAGTTAGAGAATATTTCAAAATTTTAGGAATACAGATCGAAACTTTCATAGTTAGTCAACAGCAAAATAGGTTTATCAGGAAACTTACAATCGGCAGAGCAAAGAAAGTTCCTTGTTCATTAGAGCACACCCTCGAAGTCACTCTATGAAAGCACTCCAAACCATCGATTTTGATGTTAGAACACGAAATTGTAACTTATCGATACAAAGCCAGCTATTCAATATCTGAAAAAGTAGACAGAATAACAGGTAGTGTAGAAATTAGAAAAAATAGCCTAGACGTATACACGACTTATATAGATACAGGATGTGATGAAGATTTTTGCACTGTAGAAACTGTAACATATGAAACCTTTTGTAATCGTAAATCTGTAGAGAGATAGGATCATCCGTTGTTAAAATTAATTCAACTATACTGCGTTGCCAATTTGTTTGTCAAACAGAGCTTTGAATCTGAGTATATTTTACTGTAATAGCATGAATATCCATAACTTCTTGGTGCTTATTTTTCTTCTGCTTTTTGTTTTGTAAGATATACCTTTAAATTTGTGAAATTAAGTTGTATTTTTCTCAGCTATTACTTAATTCATGATCATTGATCGTCTTTATTTCTCCTTCTCTGTTAAATTTATACACAATATGCCACTGAGTATCAAGCATCGAAATTAATCGCTTTTTGGTGTTGGGACTCTGAAAAATTATGTTTTTACCAAAACTATGTATACATGAACTTATGAAAATAAGATAACAGTCAGTCTATTATCATTGTGATTCCAAGTTTGAAAGATTGGGAAATTCTAATACTATTTAAAACAATAGAAGAGAGTCAACTTAAGCTTTCTTAAGTGAATAGACAGTTCAGGGTCGCAGCAGAGGGGTACAAGGAAGAAGGATTTTGAGAAGGAATTTTTCAAAAAAAAGAAGGAAATTCGAACAAAAGAAGGAAAGGAAGGAAAAGAAGGAATTTTCCGGAATAGTGCGCTGCAACGAATAGATTTTGTACAACATCGAATAAGAAATATTAGGACTGAGCCTAAGGAAGTAAAATAATTTTCGAATTATTATTTTGTCACGTTTCAAGGACATTCTCCTGGTTTTATAGTGAGCAATAACAGAGAACCAATTTCAAATGCGAGCAATTGTCTCCTTGGTTGTGCGACGCGCATGAATATTGTTCTCATCCCAATGTTTCAATGACTCTATTTCGATAGTTTTACAGGTCATGCACATCCCTCACCCACATGTACTGCTATGCTGTGTAGCGATCACGAAAATTCATGTATGATCAATCTATCAATTAATAGGATGTCAGAGATATGTAGCACCATCCTCGCTCTGTCCTTGAAAAAGAGGTGACACACACAGTGACTACTTCTATCTACCACTTTTACAGATAGTGAGACAACGAGTAAGCCTAAAAACACCATTCTGTTACCGAGATGTGGCAACTTGAAGATGGTTCGAAGTTAAGCTGGCTGATTAATTTACCTCTTAATGTCAAAAGATGAATTCAACTCGAAATCATCTTTCAACTTATAATAAAGCATTTTCCATCATCCGATATTTCTNGTAATTGATATTTTAGTGAACAGAATTGCGTCAATCCGAGATTGGACGCGTCCAATGTCGGATCCGACATTCGCCTAGGCCAATCTGAGATTGGACGTAATCTCAGTTTGGACGCTGACATATATATGAACTTGAGATTTCATAATAAAATAAAAAATAATAATAAAAATTTCCGTAGTAGAATAATTATTTTGTTTTATTTATTATAAATATATATCGAGTATTTCAACTTTTTTTTTCTAATCTTGAGTATTGTTCATTATCTGCATGTCATTGAAAATAATAAAACAATTACCTAGATTCATCGCAAACATAATAATACTATCATAAACTATGATTTTAATGCTATAAAACTCAAGTCTAAACAACTGTTATAAATAGATACAAAATAATAAATGAACATATATTAACATGAGATTTAATAATTCAATAAAAAATTTTATTTATTTTAAATTAAGTAATACAATTTTCTTTCTATTGCGAACTTTATATTATTGATTTTATGTAATTCGGAAATCTCAAGTGAATATATGTTGATTATTGCTTTAATGTAATTAGAGTAGTTGTTTTGACTTGAATTCTATTTCATGGGAACAATAGTTTAATGGTTTAGGATATCAAATACAATTGATTTCATCAGTAGATAATAACTACAGCATACATGGTGTTATTGTTTCATGTTGAAATATCCATTGAAGAGAACACCTCCCGGTCTTTTCCGGAATTTTTGAAGAATGGTTCATCAGAAATTTTAATAGTAGATAAATCTTGATGACTAGAGCAAAATTTTTCATTAAACTCAAAATTTTCAAATACTTTCTTTTAAGAAATATCTGGGTTGCAAAGACTAAAAATCACTCCGCTTTTTCAGTCGTAACACGTCTGATAGAAGTGAAATTTTGTTTTACAGGTACTTGACATTGTTTTGGATGCTTGTTTTTTTTTTATCTTCTTCCATTCAAATAAACAGATCAAAATACTGAGCGTACCTCGAAAAATATTTTTTTTTCGTAAAATCTGTCAAAAATGAATGGTACAATATTTTTCAAAACAACAAAAAAATGATAGACACCCTCAAACAGTGTCCAATACCATAAAAAACCCTTTAGTTAGATCGAACATTCTATCTCGAAGAAACGAGAACGATTCTGTATGTATGAAGTCTTTTTTTTTATCTAACTAAAATGATTGAAAACTGATTGTGTTCAGCAGTGTTACACATTCATGCTTCATATTCTCAGCACGTTTAGAAATTATCATTAGGAGAACTTTGTATACAAGAAATAATCACAGCGCGAGTTTTTCCGGCAAGGATGTTGAGAGTTGGGTTTAATAAAAATGCTAACTAAGAATGACGAGTCTTCATTTATATGACATTTGGTAGAGAACACTTTGAGGTTATATTAGCGATGAAAAATCGAATAAATTTTCATCTAAACATTCCGAAAGAAGAAGATTCCTTAAAAAGAAACATCATTGTTTCATTATTTTACGATGTTGAACAATTACGTCATAGTTATATCAATAAAAACTAGAAATTCATAGAATTCTGGACTTGATACTAGATTAGAACAATTCAGTTAAATATGTTAATCGATGAGATATTTTTTATTGCAAAGAGAAATTATAGATCAATCGAACAATAATCGTTACTTTATTACAATTGAACTACTGTTTATCTTTTTTGTATAATTACGAGTCGAGGTATATAAATTTTAATTTTTCCAGATGAACAACCTAATTTTATATTTAAAACTTAAACAAGAAATAAAACTTGTTTTTACAATACAAATGCACAATTGAACTCATAATCAAATTGTATTCCTATAAATAAAACTAAGTTTTTCTTTTGTTGGAAATTTTTTGAAATATGGTCTAAAATTAATGTTGAAGTAGAGAAATAGAAATTTGAAGCTTCCCTCACGGTCATAACCAAGGGATTAACACCGACCGTGACCGACATAACTACAAGATTAAAATGCATTGCAATTTACGTCTTGCATTAACAATAGGTAGAAATTTATAAGCTGAAACACATTGATTAATCCTCTTTTTTTTACCATACTAGAAGCTCTATCGTGTTTCACTTTATAATCTGTCAAGCATTACGTTAACATCTTTTCTTCTAAACATCTGTCATTCTATCTTAATAAATCCTAAAACGATTTGGATCATTTGACACCATGTCTGCATAGAAACAATGTCATATCAACTCTGAAGGTTTGGGTTTGGAATACCTCTGCCCCAAGGCTTCTTATCTCGTTTCTTGTGATTTTTTTTTTAATTGAATGATCCCATGTATTTATGCATAGCACAAGCTTTCCTTCGTTCAATGAAAACCTCTTTATATTCTCTTCCGCTTACTTTACATTTGATTGAATGAATGATGAACACATACTATATTTTTCTAAAATTTTTATCAATCGAAGAACACTTAACAAATACTCAGTTAATGATTGAGTTTCTTAGACGAAGGAAAAAAATAATAGTATTTACCATATTCAGCATAAAAATATAGAACTTTTAATGTAAATAAAATAGAGTTAGAGTAATGCTAAACAAATTTATTCATAGATATTCACTAGACAAAAGAAAACATCTTAGTTTTTTAAGAAATGCGGAGAAAAAAGACTTATTTCCTTAATTGTTCAAAATAAAAATATATGTCTACATTATAAAATCTATTGTTACAATTGTTTGATCTTAGATATAAGAAAATAGAGTCATAAACAATATAAGACAGCAAAAATTTTACTTCATGACTTTGTCATTTCAGACGGGACCAATAATAATCCTGGAATGTTATTCTCAAAAGATTTCATTTTTTTTTAAATATTTCATCTTATAAAGAGTATCCTTTTTCTAGAGTGAAAAACATATCAAATGATTTTAATGAAATAACATACAATGTTAACGTTATACTAATAATAGAAAATAACGCATGATAAATTTTTACTAGAAAAAAATAATTATGTTTGAGTAGTACTTTTTTTTCTACTCATATTGACAATCATCTGTAGGAAACAGCATATTTTTTCCTTATATTAGAATTAAAGAGTACGTCACAAATTAAATATTTAATTGTACTCTCTCCCATAATCATGGTTCTTGATGTGCACAGATCAGGGACAGGTCGTTCTTGTCTATGACAATGTTTAAGCTATTGTCAAAAAGAACTGTGTCTGTCAAATTTTTATTTCATCTCACTGCTAAAAACTATCGAGAATCATACTCTTTGTATATGTTAAGAAACGATAAAAAAAACTTCATCTTTTTATCTCTTATAAAATGTCATTCAAAACAACTTCAAAGACAACTAAGGACACCTACTGATTACTCTCTATGTTGTATATAGGAAATAAGTATAACATGAGCTAACTTATGTACTAGAGTTTAGTTCAAGCGAACAAGCAACATACGCTTCCTTCACACGACCGATGTACATACTACATCTCATTTTATACATTGGTTCATCAGTAAATACAATTAGCGCCATCTATTAGTCGTCTTTAATATTTTTATATATTTTAAACAGATAAAAATCGAGTGTTGTATATTTTTTTAAAATTATCAATCTAATAGATTGATGATTACTAGAAGATTTTTATCCAATCATATTTAGGTGAAACAAAGACACATCATCGTATGGTTGTATCGTAAGTAAGAATAAATGAATGATCAACTGTAATTATTGTCAGGTGTCTAATTTATATATATATTTAATTGTAGAATATGTGGGGTTCATTTTTTTCTGGTGGAAAAGATCCATTGAAAGAACTTGGATATGAAATACTTCCTGATAGTCAACAAACAACAAATAATCCACGTTCAATTTGGACAATATTAAATGGAAAGAAAAAAGTAAATTATTCGTTTATTTTTAAATTAAAAGCATTTCATTTTCTTCATTTGTTCTATAGATAACAGGAGATTTAGTAACAATATTTTCTTGTCAAAATGATGCTCATGTTAGTTAATTAATTGATTTATATTAATTTTATTTAAAATCAAAAATATTTTCATAATAGATTCAATTAGCTAAAGGCGCCTTGAAGCGTATGAAAACATTAAGACATCCAAACATCCTGATTTATCTTGATAGTGTTGAAGTAAGATTATTAAATCGGAAATTTTATTTATTTCATGTTATTTATTTCTAGACAGATAAATATGTTTATGTTGTAACAGAAAAAGCAGTACCACTTGAAACATATCTAAATGAATTAAAATCAAATATTAATGAAACAAATTTTAATAATGAACATTTACTTGAAATAGCCTGGGGTTTACAACAAATATGTGTAAGAAATACTCTGAATTTGTTGTTTTTATTCTTTCGAAATTTTGTTTTTCTCTATTAGCGTGTTTTAACATTTCTTCATGATGATTGTAAATTATCACATGGAAATATTAATACAAATACAATATTTGTTGATACTAAATCATGTGATTGGAAATTAGGATGTTTAGAATTTGTACAATCGATTAATGAAAATCAAATTCATCTTCCTTCGAAATATTTACCTGCTTGTCAACGTTATGAACCACCATCGAAAAAAGGTGGAGATAGTCAAAAGTAAGAATTTTTCCTTTGAATACAGAAAATATTCCCATCGAAATATCTTAATGTAGATATTCTATATAAAAACAATCTGAAAGTTTTAAATTATCTATGTATGACTAGAGTTAGACTTCGTAGTAGTCTTATAGATTTCTTGAAAAATTTAATATAATATTGTCTTATTAATTAGCACTGTTATGTCAGTATTTTGTATCATGATTTTCAAAGATAAAGACTTCAGAAAATCAAAACTCTAATTTTTCAGTTCTTAGAATTTGTAAATATACTTTTATTTAGACTACATAAAAATGCTAGAGTAAATTATTCTCTATAAAATAAGATGTTTCCAAGTTCTCTGCAATGTTTTTTTTACCCGAGGTACAGTAATATAATTAAAGGTCTATAAATGGCTTTTCTACAGGAAATTGGGAAAAAAAACTGCTTTAGACGTTTTCATAAAATTTCCATATCTCAACTAAAAATTCTATTAATGAAATCCTTGCGGTAATAAAAATGCGAAATACAATGTAGTTATCAATTGATAATCATAGGAGATTGTTTTATTCGGTCTATCTTGAGACACATTTCTTCGCTCTATTTGTACTTAATCACCTCGAAATATAATAAGCGAGTAGTTAATATATTGTAACAAACTGTTATAGACATACATTCTTTGACTGTAAATCAACAGCGTATATTATGATATTTAATGATCTTTAAATAGCGTCTGTCACTCTCTATCATGATTTTTGATCAGCATCTGCCTGCAAGAGGAGGTGTAAATTTCTCTCCTGAATATTTCAACACTTCTTTTAGATTATTTATCATAAAACTTGTTTTTTTTTTGCCCTACCATTCTATGCAGTCGAAGTAAAACTTGATTTATGCGTTTTTGGGTGTTAGTTTTTTAGAATCTTTTTTTCTTTGGGAATCTGATCATCATTTTTATTTCCTTATATTCATTTTGAAAATAATTTTCTTTATTTGGATTCTTTTTAGTTCTTACAGCAACCTTGTTGAATAGTTTCGGTACTTATTGTATATTTCTTTTTTTTCGAGATAGAACCGATAATAGTAAAAAAAGAAAAAGCAGACGCCAGTATCTTTTAATTGTTCATATTACAATTATGAAATGACAACTAATATTATCCATTATGAGCATAGATAATTAAAAGATCAATACAATATAATTTTCGTGACGTAGCGTTGACATTGATTAAAAGATGTATAATAATAGTTGCGTTTACTATATCTAGTAATTAGAATATTTACATCTCTAAACAACTAATTTTGCAATGTAGATAACAAAATAAATAATCATATTTACTGTGTTATTTTTTCGGAGACTTTTTTTTCAATCGTAAAATTGAGACGATATGTGTATTAAGTGAGATTTATTAATAATTAAAAAATTGAAGGTTGAGAATGTTGACGCCAAAATTTGCATTTCTGGTTTCTGTTAGAATTTTATCTAATTTAAATTTATAAGAAATGTTTTGTTGAACAACAACAACAACAAAAAACACAGTTACTTCAATAATCTCTACTGGATTGGTCAAGATATCTTTTTCTATCATGTTTATATTTTTGTTGATTATTTGAAACTCTTAGATTCATCACATAATAATGATAAAAAACGAAATAATTCAAGTTGATGAAAACAATAATATCCAACTATTTTTCTTTTTTATTAAGTTTTATTTTTTGCGTGTCTTTTATAGTTGTTATCATACATGTGTTAATAGTTTCCTGCCAATCAATCAAATAGAAACCATTGCTTAATTTGAAATTGTATTCATATGGGATTTGTCTCACGATCCGAGATATAGAATTATACTTAATTTCACGCGTTACTATAGTTGTTCTCAGAGAACCGCTACCGAACTTGCTAAAATTCAAATCTAATAAGATCTAATCGTATGCGTGTAGAATGAGAATTATTGTCAATATAAAAATTTTTTAATATAGAAAATTTTCTGATAATTTTTTTAAACTTTTTTATGTTCCCAAAATTTGAATAGTATTAGAATATTCTGTCTGTTTTCATCGTGCTATGTACATTAATCTTTGTTTTGTTTTTCATAATACATTTAATAAACTGTTTCCTACGAACTGTTAAATATCATACAATAACTTAGACGACTTCGTTATTCTGATAATATATAAATCCAATTACTCTCAATCTTGATCGTTCTATTATCATTCAAGATAAATAGTGTTAATCGAGGTCAAACAACCTTATGATAGATAAGGTCTTGTACGATTGTATATGCCAATCTTAAAGCCACACGTAAGGTTGGTCAAATAATCAAACGCTAAAATCTTTTCTCTAATCTTGTAAAATCAGACAAAAATTGTAGTGTCAGAAATATTCCGCTGAGTCTTATAATAAGATTATAGAAAATTTATGTCATTATAAGACCTTGCAAGAATCTTCTAGTTTGATTAAATATAAGATTTCATCAGTTGTATGAACATTGAATAATTACTCTTCAAGTTTTAACTTTCAATCGTCTATTTTTACGTAGCATCTACATTGAGAAAGTTAGTGTACTTATTTAAAAGTTGATTTCAAATTTGACATACATGTTAATTAACCTAAAAACTAATTGCATAAGTAAGATCTAAAATTATAGTCTTATAAGATTCACAGTAGCATTTTATGACATTCAATTGTCAGTAAGATTTTTCTACTTGCTTAGTAATTTTGTTTTTTTTTCTTTTTCTTACTGGTTCTTTTTCAATATGGAAAATTATTTATTTTCTTTTGCTGGTTCAGAAAATAATTGCTTTTGAAGGCAGAATTTATGCCATAGTTGCTTGGCGTGTTCAAGCATTAAAATTAAGATGAATAAGACCGACAGGTGCAGGAATATCTACATTACTGATTAGTTTTATGTTGATATAAAATAATGGTGCAGAAAATTTTAATTAGCCTTGTTAATCTTATCATTGCATTTCTATCAGTAACGGAAAGCAAGTACGGCAATTAGAATACCAGTGAATTATAGGAATCATGATTCTATAGAATTGCCGTTGGCTTTTTTTTTTCTTCATTTTTAAAAGAGATAAATGAATTGTGCTTAAGAAAAATACTGATTGTCTAATGAAAAATTTTTCGACTTTAATCGTACTCTTAATTTCTGCGACATTTTTTGTTTTAATCTTAGTCTTCAAATAGCTCTAACGATGCGAGATATTTTTCTATCGGTTACTTTTATTCTACTAATAATAAATTATATAGATATGTCTTCCAATCTTGCCGATCTCCTTATAATAATCAAATCATAATCTGTTAATACTTTTTGAGTATAATCCATTGGGTGGGTTAGGTCCGGAATCAATCTGTTGATCTCAATCTAATGTCATAGCGGTCTTTTTTTTCTTTTTTATTATCTTGATGAGAATGAGCAACTATATAGATCTACAACAACAGATTTTTATTTTATCTATATTGTTTTTTTTTTCTGATATTATATTTCATTTGGTGAAATATTTGTGTGTATTTAATGTAAGATAACCATTTCAGTGTGCACCAATAGAACTGTGCCTCATGTCCTAAGGCACGACAAAATTAGTTTATATGCAGAGAAATAATAAGTCATACCCATTTTTTTTTTTATGTGATCCTTGAGTATTTGTGTGTAAGTCTTTAAAATGATATATTATTGAATAACATCTTTTCTTGTTAGAATAAAAATATCAATATGAAAATAAATTTCTCACAATCGATTAACACGATATTTTATTTAAAAAAACCAATCTTATATTAATCTAATTACATAAAACTTTTATTTTATTATCACATATTTGTTGTCTGTAACTTGTTAGGAATTCAACAAGTGTTTTTTTTAGGAAATTTTATCAATCATTATAAATTAATTTTTTTTTCTTCTCATTCTTTGTTCAATCTAGTTTTTAGTTATTTAAAATTTGATAATTGTTTTTTTTTTTAATATTTCACACATATATCAGTAAATTTAATGTCATCATCTTCATGTACAACTCGATTATTAAATAAGTGTCAAAATATAATCTTTGTCTTTTCGTTTTGCATGCAACAGTTTCATATATTTTATTCAGTTACTGAATCCATAGCTTAGTTGAATATGTAATCAGTGAGTCGTAATGGCCACCCAATAAACAAATAAGATAAATAATTATTAGTTTCTACTACGCTACTTTCTTTTTATGTAGAATCGTTTAATTTTTTATTAACAAATCTATTCTCATATTTTTTTTTTTTATAACAAGAAAACATTTTATCTAATAATATGTCATTTAAAAACTTGCACATACGTATGTGTTCAAGGTTCATATATATATAAAACCATTTGGTTAAGATTTATTTTCTGTCTTCATGTCAACTAATTTTTATCGCTCCTTAACGCTTATGAAACATTCTATATGTCGACATTTTATATGAGATAAACATTGCAGTACGTATGCACTAAGCCATCGAACAAATAATCATCATGTAATAGTAAAGAGATACAAAAAATGAAATATGTTTGTTGTATTTTTCTTTTTCTCAGAGCACGTGATATTTGGTTTATTGGAACTCTCATATGGGAAATATTCAATGGTAATGGTGCTACATCAGCTACATCCTATCGTCAGTTAGGTTCAATACCACGTCCATTGTCAGCTGCTTATGGTGACTTAATAAATCCAAATCCATCACTTCGTTCTTCTTTTGATAAATTACTTGAATCTCCTTTTATTCAAAATAATTCTTTGGTTGAATGTCTTCTCTTTCTTGAAGAAATTCAAGTTTGTTTGATTTTCTATTTATTTTTAATTAAATAAATTTATTAAAATTGTTTTTAGTTAAAAGATCCAGGAGAAAAACAAACATTTTTTACATCATTACCCGATAAAGTAGATCAATTTCCATCACATATTAATGAACGCAAAGTCTTACCATTATTATTTAATGCATATGAATTTGGTTCATCGGGTTCAGCTGTTCTACCGACTTTATTTAAATTAGGCAAACGACTTTCTGATAGTGATTATAAAAAACGTATTGTTCCTATTATAACTAAATTATTTGCTTCAACTGATCGTATGACACGTTTTCGACTTTTACAACAAGTAAATAAATATATATATTTTTTTTTTTGGTTTTTGTTTTTAATTATATATTTTCTGCTTATAGTTAGATATTTATGTTGAACATTTAACACCAGCTGTTGTTAATGATGATATATTTTCACATATTTGTAGTGGTTTTACTGATCAAGAACCAGCTATTCGAGAAGCAACTGTTAAAGTATGTTGAAATTATTTTATTGGTTGAATAAGATAAATCTTTAATCTTAAAACAAATAAGAAGCTTTAGAATACTCATTTTCCTTCAGATAGTTCAAACGAACAAACTATACATCATTCAATGCAATTTTGACGATTCATTTTTTTTTTCAAGACAGAAAATTCCATTTTACCAAAAAATAAATCTTCTCGTGAAGTTTATATCTTAGTTCAAGAATATTTATATTAATCATGATGACATCAGACATAAAATTCTGACAAAATATTTCATATTAAAATATAAGCACAATGTTCATTTTACTCATAAATTGTTCGATATCATAGCAATTTCTAAATCATATTGTTATTACATACAGACTAGTGTTTGCAATTCAAATCATATGAACTTTTCAAAATATGCTCGAACTATAGTAAAGACATTAGGGCAACGTTTTCAGCCATATATCATGATATTTTCGGGGGATATTGATAATTCTCTGTGAGTACAACTTAATGGATTTTTACGCTACAAGAATATGTCAGACTGTAATACTCCTTGGAATGTTTACTTTTCATGCGGAGTAAAAGAACAAAAGGCTAGATGTCTTGAGAGACTCTTGAAAAATTGTTATCTATTTATAGAATTTGTTTTTCTTTTATATAATAATACAAAAAGCTTTTTTTAAAAACTGAACTTTGTCACGCACTGCAGTTACACATTCTCTTTCAGTAATCGATTGCAATGATGATTGTTTAACAATTTTACGATGCATAATCAGAAAAGCGGAAAAGATTTTCTGCTTTTTCTTTCAAGAAAAAAAAAACATGTTTTTTCAAGCATAAGGTAATGAAAATCATCATAAATTTTGGCAAAAAATCACATCGTTTAAGAAACATCAGATCTCGACTTATCTTCATATGCATTTATCTCAAATTAGCGTGAGAAGGCTTCAACGTTGTAAAAATACATACAGTACATTTTTTATTTTTTCACTTGATTGCCGAATGTTTAATGAGACCATGTTTGTTTATCATTTTTATAAGAAATTATCAAAATAAATAAAGTGATTAAAATAGATTATACTTAATTTGATCCTTCTTAAACATCAGAATAGAAATACTTCTGAGAAAAATTTTCTCATCTACAAAAGAATATATAAATAGATGTTGATTTTATCTTGCATTAATAATTTTATATAGTAAAACTAAACACAATATCTGGTAAAAAAAAAATCTTCATTTTTCTTTTACTGTTGATGGAAGTATATATCTATTAATATTCTTAATAAGTTGCAAAAAAAAGTATGTTAAACGGAAAAACTTAATCTACTTTCTATTCTCAGTCAATATTTACATTGAACCTTTTTTTGGTTTATTTACTTTATAAAAAAAAAAAAAAACAATAGTGATCGTATTAACCCTTTGAGGCCCAGGGGGATATATATTTCCCACCTTGAGAATTTTGAAATCTTCGAGTTTTCGAGAATCTTGGAGAAATATTTTCAATATATGTTAGAAGCTAGCAGAGGTCCGTACAAGATTGATTGGATAATAGAGTGTATAGATGACATTGAAAAACGCACCTTGCGAAGTTTTGACCCCAGGGGGGGGGGGGGGGGGGNCTTTCTAACAAAACATCGCCTGAAAAAGGTCTCAAAATGCACAAAAAACTGCATGCAGAAAGCAAATTGCCTAGATATGTCTCAGTTGATAAAAAACAAAGTGAAGATACCTCTTCACTCTTTGAAGTACACATAACACTCGGATTAAAATCCGATGTTTTCGCATTTATTTCAGTAGAAAATTAAATTTTATCGAGATTTTTCTTAAAACACTCTGCAGTATTTATAGACAAAAAAAAAACATTGAAAACAAGAGGCAGCAGTTGAAACGGTTCTCTCGTCAGTTTTGTTACTAGGAACTGCGCAAAAAAAGAAAACAAGGTTCTCTTACTACTAAAACGAGAAAATGTTTGATTTTTTCAATAATATTTGAAACCAACTAAATGAGCGCTTGTGTAACTGAAAACCATCTGATTTAAATAAGATAAGACATTTGGTTTTATCTTGTATCATAAAAACCAAACTAGATATATACAAGTGCATATTATTGGTCTACATATGCTGATAGCGATTTTTTTACGTTACTTATTTTAAATCTAGGAAAATGATGTTTTTATACTCAGTTTTTTAATGTAAAACCTATTTTTAAAGAGTTTAGCAAAAGAAACAATTATTAAAACCTAAGAGTTATTTTGAGAAAAAATTTATACTTATGATCTTATCTGTATTTGGAACTCGTTTGCAATGAAATTGTGATCTAATTGAAATAAATAGTATATGTAATCAGCTGTATTAAGCCGTATATAAATAAAATTCATTCGAATTTTGCATTTTATGAACTTTATTAAAATAAATTAAATAAAAAAACGATTTATTTTTTAAAATTTTAATTAGTTACGTGGTCGTCTTCTAATATCTGCATTCGGTCGTGGTACACAAGATCCATTTGGACCATCTCGACAAGCATCTCTTTATGCTCTTAATCATTCAGAACGATTTTTTACATTAAAAGATATGGCAACAAAAATCTTGCCAATTGTTTGTCATGCTACAATTGATCCTGAACTTGATGTTCGGCAACAAGTAAAAGAACTGCTTTTTATTTTTTTATTTTTTTCATTTCATTTTATTTATCAAATAGGCATTTAAAACAATACAAGTATTTATTAAAAAATTGGAAACTGTTTCAGAAAAACCAGAATTAGCTATTGACATGGGTATACTATTTTATTGATCGTTTTTTTATTTCAACATTCAATTTCGAAAGAAAAATTGAAATTCTTTGTCTTGTTTTTTATATAGAAAAAGATGTTAATTCAAGTAATGTGGGTGGAACAGCAAATGAAACATCATGGACATCATGGGCTTTAACATCACTTTCGAGTAATATTGGTAAATTAACAACAAAACCACAACAACCATCAGTTAATTTAACATTAGCAAAAAGTGATTCACAAGGTACTTTAGCAAATGCTTCAACACCTACAACAACAGCAAAAGGTTAGTTTTTAATATCATAAGGAGATATTGAAGTAATCAAGATTATTTTCGATTCTGGTCACTTAATTTCCACTAGTCGCGGTCATTAGTCTGTTTACTCTGGTCTAGTCCCAGCTTAAAGCAAAATTACATTAGAATTCATTTACATTAAATATCAAAGAAAAAATTTTTTATTTTTTTATACATTCTATCCATCGATATTTGGAACTGGTAACACTAAAATTTTATCGTCCAATACCCTTTCTTTGAAAATTTAGTCATTACTGACATTTTATCACTATCATATCCTTATGAGAAAAAAAAATACACTGTAACATTTGTTTGCCTTTGTTTCAACAAATTATTGAGATTATTTTATAAATTATATTAAAAAATAGAGAATGAAAAATAACTCTTTCAATGAATATAAAATATCCATCTCCTACTCAAATTCAAAATCAGATATTTCCAAGCTGAATTTTATATATCAGCATGATCGGTCATCCATACATAGGAAGGATTCGCACTTAAAAGTAAACAAAGCTAAATCTATCATTTAAAAGAGAAGAAAAATCAATGAAGTTATTATTGATAGTAGTAGATCTAATTGGTTTCTATTTATAATAAAAATTTTCAATTAAATTTGCTTTTATCACACAAAATGATTAAAAAAAAATATTACTTTCGGAATGAAATGAGGTTCACATCTCTCTCGTACATAATGATTTTTCAATACAAAAAAAGAAACAATTTTAAACGATTGTCATTGTCACGACACAATAAATAAATGTGACAGTCAGAATCAACGTCACAATCTACATTAAATTTTGCATCGTGATTGATTCTTCAAGAGTCAATTTTGCACAGAAAAAAAAAAACCTTTTTCTAAAATTTATTTGATTCAATGTAGTTTTTTTCATCGATAGAGCGATCTTTCATTCACATTGGCCTTATAAAACTTGAATTGAGGTCAATAGTATATTCTAGTGAAGTATCGTATTTTATTCAGTTTTTAATTTTCTATCTTTTGGTATAATTGATACAAAAAAAAATTCAATGATTTGTTGAAGCGAAACCAAACATAAATATTACAGTGTATATTTTTTGCTGTTTGCTTTTCTCATAAGGATAATCTAATGATAAAAAGACGGCTTCGAGAGAACATTTATCGAATGATAAAATTTTAGAGTTACCAATCTCAAACATCAATGTATTGAGTGCAGGAAAAGAAATTTTTTTTTTTTATTGAGTGCTTCACTCACTTGATGGTCTCATGATTGCTCTCTTAAATACTCGTGTTTTGATGAATTTAGCCGACAAATATTACTTTTTCTTTTGACATTTCTCCTAAGTTTTGCTTTGATTGATTGTGATTTATAAAGTTATTCGCTAAAAATCATAGAAAATTTAATTAGAATTTTGAGTTTTGGTTCGAACAAATTTTTTTTTTTTAGTATCCCTCACATCTCTACATACAACATAGATAATTAATTTCTTTTTTGTGTATTACGTTGCACTAAAATGTTTATTGATGTATGTTATATCATATATGTTTTGATATAGTGAAACTCTCGATGACATCTAAACTTATCTTCATGCATGTTTGCTATGTAAAAGCAATAAAAAAATTTTGTTAAAATAATTGTGTTAAGAATGAGTTTTGATCGAAACATGTCTTCTTCTCTTTTGATATTCTCAATTGTTGAATAGATCTACAAAATAATTCCATTAGTTCTATTTTATATTAAATATCCCATCATGAATTTCAATCAGATAATTTAATATTCTTAGTATTTTTTCTCGAATAATAATACAGCATTTTTTTGTTGATAAACATTCGAATAAATTTACTGACAAGAAAGAAATACGATTATATGAGTCTTAGTAAATATGTCAGGTCTTATAGACTAAGTAATAAAAACTTTATGTTAAATTTGCCATTTTATCTTGAGCAAAATAGATAATCAGAAGAAAACAATCGAAAGTTGACTTTAGCAAAGTTCGCATATTAAAATAAATAAATTTATGATAAGTCTATCTTACTCTAAAATAAAATCGAACGTTAGAAAAAAATCCATCACAAAAAAAAAAAAACAAGTCTTTAGAAATCGGTAATAATTCTCGTAATCATATTTAATAGCAAACTATACAAATATTTAAAAATTAAAAAATAGGAAATTGTCTCATAAGTTTCATAGTATAAAGAACAATTAGTTTCATCGAACCAGAAATAACATTAAAAAAAGTGTTTATTGGACCGAAAACTTCGGCAGATTGTACTGTATAAACTCTCAAAACAATTTCTATCCGATCGATCCTAAATTTACACTAAATATTCTCCTATACGAGATTTATCATTATCTATAGCATCGATTGGTACTAGTCAAAACAAAATCAGTGCTAAGAGCTTCTCAACAAATCGATTTTCAACTTCGAAATCCTTATTTTGTCAAATAAAAGAACATTTTTTATCCAGGCCAAGGTGATATTCGAAATCAGCTCGCTAAAGTACATTCAATCATATATAACAATACATATCTTTCGAAGCAAATCGTTGGCTGTCCTTTGTCAACAAGGTTTATCATAACCAACCATTTTGAAAACATACAAAACAATATACAGTCAATTATTCTCTCGTATCTATTTCATCATTAATCATAGCGCTATCAGACACTAATGAATATCGCTGATACTATGACTCTTTTGACTGTAAATCTCTACTTTTGTAAATAGGAATATCATTTTAATACATAACCTAGTTGATATTCAGAATCAGATCAGAACATTTTTTTGACTTCTATATAAAGTAAGCTTTAAACACATAGTGAAACAGTATTTTTCGCATATTACAAGAGTCTTGATTCGATTGAACTCAACACTTGAACATCTATTTTCGTTCATAGTATTATCTCGTTGACTACATACCTCGTATCGTACACTAGGCTGGAGATTTTCAAAAAAAAATTTAGTTTTTGATACCAACTTTCTTTGGTTCTTTTTTCTGTTCTTAAATAATATATTAGTCTAACTTGCGCTGAAGCCTATTGTATTGAAATAATCTTCTATTCTTCAATGTATATGCATATGAATGTAACGTTATCTATTCGATTAATTTTTTTAATCAATGGTTTGATTATTGGTGACTTAAATGCTTGATTTTTGCTTACAAGAACAAAAAATAACGTTTCTTTTTTTTCTTTCTTTCTATTATGTGACATGCATAAATGTCGTACTTCTATCGTTAAGAAAAAAAAACGTAAAACTACATTCTTGAAGTGTATAGAATAATATGTTGTATAAATAAGGCTTTCTTTTTTTTTGTTTTGATAGGAAAGATTACACAAAAGAATAGAAAGAAATCTTAAATAAAAAACAAAAACGTAGATAGAAGAGAAACATTAATTTTGTGAACAAATCGAATCGTTCCGATCGATTGACTGTAATTACTTTTTCACTAATTGTTAATTGACTGATTCTTTTCAACAAATAGTTGAGAATGTTTTTTTTACCTTGCCTCCGTGCTTCTGGGCATTTGTATTATTCATCTTGCCTAAAATATAGAAAAAAAAACAACATCGAACGACGGAGTTCGACATTCATTCTTTTCTTGTTTTGTTTTGTTGTGACATAATGTTTAATCTGTTTATCACGTAAAAAATATAGCAGAGACAAGTAATATTGGACAATCATCTAGTACTCCAAAAACAACAGCGAAATTACAAGCCAAAGGAGAAAAAGAAGAACAAGTATGCAAAAAAAAATATTCATATAAAATTAGTATTTACATTATTTTAATAAAATAATTAAAATAGGATCGACAATCATCAGCATTAGCTTCATATTTTAATAAAACAAATAATAATGATGAAGAAGATAAAACACCATGGGATGATATGAAATCAAATGATTGGGGTGATACACTAGAGACTGAAGATGATAAATGGGAAGATTTTTCTGCTGCTTCATTATCATCTCAAGCAGCAAAAACAACAACAACAACACAATCTTCTAGTGTATCGAATTCATCTTTATGGGTACAAGATAAACCATCTTCAACAAGTCAAAAAAAGAATGATTGGGATAGTGATGCATTTTTTGATGATGTTCTGACAACTGCAACGAAACCGAAACTGAAAACATCCCGACATTAATGTTCGATATATGGTCATATATCTAAGGTGTTCTTTTCTCTTTCGTTTCTTTTTTCTATCTCATGCACTTGTTATTTCTTCTATTTATAATTTATGAAAGAGAATATTATTCTTAAAAGTACAAATTATGACAGCAGTTGGTATTCGGCATCTCTTTTTGTCTTCTTTAGAAAAAAAAAAAACATTTATTTTCTCGTTCTTTTTTATGGATTATTGATAAAGATATTATTTAATAATCTAAGAAATATTTGTGTATTCATTTTTATTTCAGATGAATGACTTCACATTGTATGCTATCAGTATTATTTTATGTTTATATATTTTGTTGATATCTGCTGACAATAATGAAACTATTGATTCTATGGCTATTGCTAAGCCACATGCTAAAGGTAATTAAATAATAAAGATTATTTTATAATCTTTGAAAAATGCTGCTGTTATTCACAGTTAATTCTTCAGAAAAGAAAAAAATTTGACTGATTAGAATGTAGCTTAAACTAGTCTAATGGCTCTAGAACAGTTCGAGCTAATCTTAACTTTGCTATGTTTTGATTTTTCAGTTTGTTCTTTATAATCTTCGTAAACAACTGAATATTGGTTTTGTATAAAAACCTGTTTTTATTAAAACAATATATTTTATAAATGTATTCATCTGTGAGCAAATACTGGTTTAATTTGATGTATTTTTATTTGTTGTGAAATATGAAACAAGTGACATTGCGTCAGTAGGTATGATTATAATTTCAATGAAAATAAGTATCTTGACCAAAAAAAAAACAAAATAAAATTTTAGAATCATCTCCATTTCTCATCCATAATACCTAGTTAAAACTTTCTTCTAATTATACCAGAGAATGTTTAGACTGCCGAGTCTTTTTTTTTTTGGCTTCTGAATATAATTTACTACTGGTTTGTGCCATAGTTTACATAAAAGGTTTCATTTAAAAGAACACTTGTATTTTTGAGGGTACACTGAGTAGTTTGATCTTTTTGTTCGAATGAAGAGAAACCAAAAAAAAAAACACTTAGTATACCAAATAGTGTGTAGTATCTGTAAAAACGAACGTCAACTCTATCAGACGTATTGTAGATGAGAAAAAGTAGTGACTTTTAATTACTTATCTCTCCTAAAAGTTTCGAAATTTTTTTTGGATGAGCTAGTCTTCAAAAATGATACTCATCAGTATTTTTCGTTTAGAACTAAGTAGAGTTCTATAGAATTCGATATTTATGTTCTTAAAGGTATTTTTTATTTTGCGTAGAGATCAGAAGGATGATGTTTTTCTACATAATGAACTTTGTTATTTTAACGGCTCTTCAAATTCCAAACTATGACTTTTTCAAAAGAGAAATTTAGCATTGATGGTTATGAATGTTCTAAAAAATTCCCAACATTTATCAAGTGTATGAAAAATCGAAGTTCATATTTTTTTTTTGTTATAGTATGTGGTGATATTCGTGTAACATTATTTGAATTACGGCGTGGTTTTGATGCTCATGCTATATCGTCTTGTGAAATAAGTCTTGGCTCAGTTACATATGCTCCAATGCATTCCTTAGTAAATGCAAGTACAATAACGTCAATACGTTTTCCAAATCTGCGTGAAGTTTATGGTTATATGTTATTAGGTTATTCTTCTATGCGTTCATTTTCATCAATGTTTCCACGTTTATCAGTTATACATGGACGAGATTTATATCATGGATATTCATTAATTGTTATGGATAATTTTGCATTAGATGAATTAGGTTTAACATCATTAATTAATATACGTCGAGGAAATATAATTATAGCTCGAAATGCTCAATTATGTTATGCTGAATCTTTACGTTGGAATGATATAATGGAAACAAAAAAGTCTCAAGTTATATCACGACAAAATCGTGATAATTGTGCTTTTTGTCCAACATGTCCATCAGCATGCTGGTCACCAACACAATGTCAACAAAGATGTTCAGCTAATTGTCAAGGAAATTGTTTATCGGAAACAATATGTTGTCCGGACGAATGTGTTGGAGGATGTCATTATAATAATTCAACACCAACATCAACTTTAATTTGTAATGCTTGTAGAAATATGAGAATTTATTCTACAGGAACATGTGTACAACAATGTCCAGAAAATATGTTGAAGGTAAACTACAGTTTGTTTTCTTGTCAATTTTTTTTTTTGTTGAGAATAAGGATCCACTAGTTTCCAGTTTAAAGTTCAGAGCAAAAAGTGAAAGAACTGTTCAAACAAATCCTTTAATAGGAATTGATTTGCTTCAACGGTTAAGCTTCTGAAAATAAACTAGCTGGAAAATTTTGTTCTGTTTTGGGAACTGCATTTCATTAACAAAACAAATTATTTTAATACCCAGAAGTGCCATTTCCAAAAAACAGGACAAATACCTTTTGTAATCGAAACTGTTATTTACGAAAAAGGAAACAAAGGCTTTTATATCCGGGAATACTATTCCTACAATAGAACAAGAACTTTTTGTACTCGGAAGTGCCAGTCGCAATAACGTAACAAAGGTTTTTGTATCTGGTAGTGCCATTTTCACAGTAGAACAAAAATTGTTTGGATAGATCGGGCCTGGGTGCTGAACTCATGAAACAGATTATTTCCTATCAACGCAACTGTTTGAACAGATCAGAGAATATTTTCAACCATTTCTCACATTGGAACTAGAACTGAACTTGTTGACCTCTATTTGATATAGAAAGAACAAAAAAACAAAACAAAAAAATCTTTTTGGCTAATGCATTATATAATTGATTACAACGAATAGCTTTCAGCGTTGTACGACTCGCAAAAGATTATATCGAATATAGATGAGAAAAATATTGTGTATTGTAAAGCTGTTAAAGTTCTGGTTAATACTAAATTTGTATCTGAATCTAAGCGATGTTTTCATTTTTGTTTAATTCATAAACAAAACGCTAGATTAATAAGGTTAGAATATAATTTTATAAGAAGTATTTATCATTATACAACCAACGCCATAATTTGTTTAAATCGGAAAATATCAACTCTCATATATTTGTATTAAAACACTTACAATGAGTTTTAATATGAATATTTTTTTTTAATTTGGATTTAAATGAAATGTGAGATTGATTTGAAAAAATAAGATTAGTCCTTGTAATGTTTATCTTGATTCTATATTGAGTGTATTCGTAGACAACTATTCTCAACTTAGTTTTACAACTTTAGTTGTTCATGGTTAATTTTTTTCTGCTTTTTTTAAAACTATATGTTTTACGCTATTTTTCATCTTCATCAAACTCTTCTTTAGTTCGTTTATTATATTAATTCAGTCACGATACGGTAGTGTTATTAGTATATAATATCATTTGAATAAAAACGAAGTTTGTTTTGTTTCTTTTTTCATGTCCGTAAAAGACATTGTTTCAATATTTGATATTGATCTATTTCTACATATTTTAAATGAGTTTTATTTTATAGGCTGGTGGTTCTTTATGTGTAACTCGTCAAGAATGTACATCGTTTTTTTTGAGTACTGGTTATATATTAGAAGAAATAAATGAATGTGTTGCATCTTGTCCATCTGGTTTTATTCGTTTGTCAGGATCACGTTGTATTCGTTGTACATCATCTTCAGAAAATAATTATTGTAATGGTGCATGTCGTGAAAAACATATTCGTTCAATAGGAGATTTTCAATCATTAAAATATTGCTCACGTATACATACATTAAATATCTATAATATAGAAACAGTTGAATCAAGTGGAAATAATTTTTTAGAAACACTTTCTGCATTTAGTTCTCTTAAACAAATTGATCATGAATTTACAATACATAATGTTAAAATATTTTCAACATTAAGTATTTTTTCTCAATTACATCGTATTGGTATAACATCTAATGCTTCATTGACAATCGAAGAAAATGAATTTTTAACTGAACTTTGGCCATCAACACAACAACTACCAATTGTACAAGGAAGTGTAAATATTGTTCGTAATGCTCGTTTATGTTTAAAACATATTGAAAATTTTATTAATTATACAACTGCAAATGAAAAAGGTTTGATATTGTTTTGTTTTTATTGAAAAAAAAATTAAATTTAGTGTTATTTAGAACTTCAAGTAACAAATGATACACGAAATCCATATGCTAATGGATATTTAGCATCATGTGAATCAAGTTTTTTAAAAATAACAATTGATAAAATACGTTCATTAACAGCACGAATTAATGTTGCTATACCAAAAGAATCATTTCTTCGTTCAAGTGGTACAGCTGAACATTTACGTCGACCATTTTTATCTGTTTATTATAAAACAACACGAACAAAAAATGAAACACATTTTGATGCAACACATTCACGTAAATGGTTAAGAGTAGTCGAAAAAGTTAATTATAATCCAGCACCTCATGGTAAATATTTATTTGAATTAAATATAAATATTTAATATTTTAATTGATTCTTTAATATAAATATATTTGTTAGTCTTCTTCCGAAAAAAACAAGAAAGAAGAACTAGACTCTTTTGAAAACTAGATTGTACGTGTGACTCATAAAATGCTTCATTTCATAAGTTTAATTTTTAATCATTTTATTTTCTATAGTTCCTCACTCAACATTGTACGGAAATGAAAAATTGAATTTTTTTTCGGATTGTAAATATAAAATTAATAAGATAATTGTTATACTCTAGTTTGACATGATATCCTATAGATACTGTCATTCTTAATGGTTCTACAATTAGGTTCTTTCTTCTCTTAAAAATAAACGAAGTAATGTTTATATTCTTTATTAACTAATATGAATTCTTTCGTTATTATTGACATAACCTAACGTCAAAGTAATCTTTATGAAAGAATAAAAACTACAATCCCATTAATGTACTTTGTATCGGTTCTGTTATTCTCTATTAACTATGACCCTCTTCACCGGCTCTGATACTTATACATTATTTATTGTTTTTTTTTTTGTTAAGTATTGCTTTTATAAAATCCATATAGTTTCTGTTCTTAAGTTGACACTCATTTGTCAGTTGAATTATGCTTTCTTTTTTCTGTAGATAGCGATAACAGACACAACTATACAATGAATTGTATGCTTAAAAAAATAAATAAGTTATTTTAAAAACATCCGAAGTACAAAGATTCTACTAAGTTTTTCGACAAGAATGTCAGTTTTAAACTCATTATTGTAGAACTGAATTTTTTTTTGACTTAGTATTGTAATGTAGAAGTGTGCAGGGTAATGCAGAGTAAGGATTAACAAACACTTTTTTGACTGCGAAACGAGATCTATATAGGTTAGTAGAGGAAGATTTCCTCTATCTAATCACTTATGTATTATCAAGTTCTATTCAAAGCCTTTATAATCGCCTTTATCTCAGTCAAGGTACATAGTAAGAAAAAAGCTTACTCTGCACATCTTTAATGCAAACGTACCAGAGACCGTCACAGGGCAGGGCAAAAATGTTTGCCCTGTGCCAAAAAAATGAAAAAAAGTCTGATTCTAGTTTAGCTTTTCTGATAAAAAAATCGATTACAATGGCAATGTTTTTATTCAATTTTAATCTAATTATTTCATGCAATTGCCTTTTCAAAAATAATTTTGAATGAATTAAGTCTTGCTTATAAAATGAAGTTCATTAAAAATGTAATCGAGTCTTTTTTTTCTGCTACGCGTCTTAAGAAATCTCAATATGAAATGACTGCTTGCTCAAAAAGTTTATGAACAAAGAAAAAACTACAAGGAAGAAAATCAAATAAACAATTGCCTGTCATTCGAAAGACCCAATTTTTATCGACTAAATTGAAAGATGGTCGATTTTTATCAAACATGGGTCAAGAATAGAAGATCGTGTTTTATAAGAAGACCACGCACTAAAAAATTTCACAAAGCATAACAGAAGACCATGAGTTCTCAAGAGTTTTGTGTTGGAAATTCTGCTGACTTTATGAAATTCAGCACATAGAAACTTGTTTTTTCAGTAACAAATGGATGCCTTACTTTATTTTTAATTATAGTAAAGAATAAGTATAAATAAAATATCTATCTTTTTAAAATTAAAATAATGAAATTCTTTGCATTTGCGAAAGAAATAAAAATAAAAAATAAATCTTTATTATTTAAAAATAAAGATAGAAGAATTCTTTATTTTCAAAAATAAAGAATACAGAAAGATTTGTTCTGTCATAGATAGATAGAGAAATACCTATAGTATAACAACTGGATATTTTAATCAATAATCTTTCTTGCGATGAATATCACTTCGACATGTGATATCATTAGAAAGTCAAGCGGGTACAAGAAAAAAAGAATATATATGCAAAACAATTTTCTATATATTTCATTTCCATCTATGGTGTCATACCTTTTTGTGAGCTACTTAGTGAAAATTTAAAGATTAGATTCTCATAGAAAAGGTTTCTTCATTATTTATTTTATCTTTGCTTTCTATAAAGGTAAATAAGAAAAAATCTATATTGTTATTTTGTAAATATGAAGATTTCATTTATTTTCATTTTTTATATAATAGTTTCTCTTTATTTATTTTTATTTTTGAAAGATAAAAAGTTTTTAAATCTTTATTTAAAAAAACTTAAAGAATTTACTGGTGTTTATTTTATAAATATAAAGATTGTACTTATATTTATTTCATAAAGTAAAGAAAATGTAACCCTAGTAAAAAAAAAACATTTTTTTGCAACTAAAATTACTTTTTTCTTAACAAAAGTTTCTTTTTTCTAGTGAAAAACCTGTTATTCCACGGGATTTAGTAACTAAAAGCATCTGAGAATATCATTGTTTTATCGAAGCTTAAAATCTTGCAATTGACATACTCAGTTTAGAAGTATTATTCTAACCTGTATATGCCCTGTGCCCTGCCCTGCCCTGCTCTGAGGGCAGGGCAGGGCGAAAAAAAATATTACAAGTCATGTTCAGTGCAGGACAGAGCAGGGCGAAAAAAACGCCCTGTGACGGTCTCTGAAACGTACATATAGCCTAAACAAAAAGAAATAACATTTAATAGAATTTAACGTATGGTTTTTTTTTCCTAGGTGGTTCATTTACAATGAGTGCGCAGCTAACCGCACTACTTGGTGATGAATGGTATGCAGTTTATGCATCTATAACATCAAATCTTAATACAATTGGTTTATTTTCTCCAATTGCTTATTTTCGTACATTACCACGTCAACCTGAACCCATACTTAATTTACGTGGTGAATCATTATCTCGTTCAACTATTGAATTAGTATGGCAACCACCATCAAAACCTAATGGTCCAATAACAACTTATCTTGTTTATTATGCACCTATGGAAGATCGTTTACCAGTAAATAATTCGAAATTACTTTGTTTAATGAAAGGTAAATTGAAGGACAAAAACAAAAAGAAAACAAAACGAATTGATATATGACAAGAGAATAAATAATTAATTTGTTTTTTTTTAAGATCGTTGGCAATCAGAAAAAAATGTTCCACTTAATCACTTAAATCTTACAGAATCAGTACGATGTGGACGACCAAAATTCCGTGGATCTAATTTGAATGCAAATAATGATGATGAAACAGATGATGAAGATGAAGAAAATACAAGTATTGATCAAGTTGTTACTGATTTATCCATACTTGAATATCAACTTATTAATTCTGTGAGTCAACGAAAAGATCCATTATTTATTCGTCCAGAACTTAAAGATACAATTATAAATGACTTAGATCATTATTTTGAAGATAAAAGTAGTGCATTTAATGACAATTATAAATCAGATTCTCTCGAACAGCCCGTTGTTGAACATAAACCATATATTGATCAATATAATCAATCTGTATCCGACACAAGAATTATTATTGATAATTTAAAAGAAGCACAAATGTATATGTTTCAAGTATTTGCATGTCATGATATATCAAAACAATCTTTATCTGATGCTTGCAGTCTTAATGGTATTATATTAGCTGTTAGAACAAAACCTGGTGATCGTATGTATTTTATTTCTTTTGACCGAGCAATGAAAAGGTCTTTTTTTTTTTCTATGGAATTCAATTTATTAACCTAATCAAATTATTTTAAAACTTAAGGAAAAAGGAATTACTATGAGTACTGAAATAAAGTAATTTGAATGATTAGATTCTATTTGGTGGATTGTTTGTCATGAATCGTTTCTTCTTTTTTTTAAATTATGTAACAAGCGAACAATTACTAGTGAGTAGTACCCGGTGTTGCCCTGACCAATATGTTTTAAAAGTTCGTGACCGTGACTGAAGGCTAGTCACGGTGAGTTACGACGCTGAAATCTTCATGTATTCTATGTTTCTTTCAACTGCATCAGATTGTCCACAAGACAGAGTTCTCATGTTCTATACATATTTCAACAGTTATACTTCAACGAAAGGAGACTTATATTCTAGTATTCCTTTAAAAATAACCAAATTACTTAAGTTTTTTTTCATCATTTTTATTTGCCTGTGCTTTTTTTTGGACTGTCATGGACTTTAGATATATACAGAGGCCAATATTTGATTCCTATCAATTCTAGATTGATCTGGGCTAATATCCGGTGTGAGATTGAATTAGATCAAAGTCGAATCTACGAAACAGTTTACGGGATAAGTCAAACAAGCCTATAGAACTAAGTCAGATCCAGTTTAATTTTCGTGGACCACAGTAAGAAACTGATATTTCAACGAAGCCCGTGGTTACTTGACGGACAAAGTGCGGATCGAGTTAATGATCAATCGCTTTCCACAGAAGCTGCTATTCTGCATAAAAGACTTATCAGTGCTAAGACTATTCCTTAGTTCATTAACTGATGATTTTACCCATTGTAATAACATTACCTTATTATAGTACATCAAAGTCAATCCGAACTTGACATTCATCAGGAGACTGATTCGAGCTTTGTGATCAACTGTTTCCTCGATCTGATGTAGGACTCGTTTAATCTTCTCTCTGAGATCCACCTGGGCCAGTCCGGGATTAGTTTAACTCTTCAATTGGCCTGAGTCTTAGATTTGCCTATGACATACAACAGGTGGAGCAGAATAAATTAATCTGTTTATACTTTTAATATTTCTTCTCTACCTTGAACTCGATCGAGCTGTTTTTTGTACTTCAAGGTATCCTGTTCGATTTCTTTTAAAAAGGTATCGACCTTTTTATTGCAGAATCGGAACCTGCGAAATGTTATGAGAAATCGTTAGGAATACCAAAATAGAGAAAAAAAACAAAGAACATTTTCTCGAATAAAGCTATCATTTTTCGTATGGCTTCACAACTGTCAGAATAATATTTCATTAGATTTAGTGTAATCTCAAAGACACTCTATCTCCTAGTGGAAGGCGCAAAGGATATGAATCCAAATATTCAACGCAAGGATAAGCTTTACGGCGAACAAGCGAAAAATAATAACAATTATCTTTTTTGCGTCACTTGACAAACTAATGATTTTGTTAGACATTAGATGTCCGACCATATCGATTAAGTGTTACTTTTCGAAATAAATGGGAATACCATTACACGCTCGATTCTAGCTGAAATTTTTTTAACATCATTGGGTGAATAGAATTTTTCAAGGTTTATACGATGCCTACTTTTATAATGCTCTCTCGTAACATTTCAGCGAGAAATACTAGAAGAACCTGTTTTTTAACTTATCTACATTTAGCTTTTTCTTCATTTTTGTAGTTCCCACACTGTCTCGTAAAATTTTGCACGTTCAAATTTTGCCATAAATGGTGGATTCATTCTTTCCCAGAAATTAAACGAAGAATATTTTAGTAAAATATCAGCCGGATTGAGTTCAATAAATAGAACAAATATTAAAAATACTAACAGTCTAATTTATTCTGGCTTAGCATTATAATCCTTCTTTTTCCACTTTCAGCTTGTGACTGAAATATTTTCGTTGGTGAGCCGTTGTATGAAATTCTCTTTCCGCAATTTTTTGAACTGAAATTGAGTTGTTAATTATTTATTTTATGTGATAAATTTTGTTCTTAAGTCCTAAATAAGTTGTCATGTTGATCGACATAACCCATATATCTGAGCGCTGTTAAGAAATATCTCTTTTTTGGGAGAGGTCATAAAAATCCATAGAAAATAATCGTCACTCACGGTCACGGCTTGAGTCATCGTCACCGTGACCAAAAAAACTTGGTCACGCCAGGTACTACTAGTGAGTCAGTCATATCAAATGCTCGACCATTAAAATATAGATGAAAATACTTCTTTCATTATTTATTCTCTTTGATTTGCTTATGTGTGAAATACCTTGATGTGATTTCGAGTACTAAGATCAATTTCTGCGACACCTGGAACCGCTGGAAAGATGCTGTTTTTGGTCGAAAAACGGTAGAAATTAGGAATTAGACATCTAGTGGTCGGTTCTGTCTGGAACTGAAAAAAATCCAGCTAGTGGATCGAGTCATAGGATTCCTACCGTACTTCTGTTGAAACTAACTGTACTTCATTCATCTAGGTACATGGAATTATAAGTTGCAAATAATGGCAAAGATTGATAAATCGGAATACTAAACAATCGCTTTGTTTTTACTTTGATGATATATGTTGATATTGAACTGAGTTCATAAAATATTTTTAGAACAATATTTGAAATTTAACGAAATAAATTAGTTCGATTCGTAGAAAACTGAAACAGGTTTTTTAATTAATAGTTTTAGAAAAGAAAAATTCAGATGATCAATAAGAAACTTTCTATTAGATCTAAATAGATTAATCTTATACGATCATTTATTATTATTGTTGAAGATTCTTCTATAAAAAACTGTTGTTTCTTCCTTAGTACGTTCTTTCGTTTATTAATTAGTTTTCCTTTTTGTTTTTTTCTTCTAGCATCACGTGATTTAGTACGTAATGTTCAAGTTGTTGCTCCAATAGAAGGTTCTGATCATTTAACAGCTAATACAAAATCATTTACTTATCAAATATCCTGGGAAGAACCATTAGAACCAAATGGACTTATTTATTTTTATATTATTTATATTGGACAAAATAGTAATAATGGACCAAAAGAAGAACGTTGTATTGGACATGATGTTTATTCAACAAATGTAACACTTCTACCACGAACAACATATTGTTTAAGAATAATTACATATACAATAGCTAGATTAAATAATGAATATGGAGATAAAGATCAAATCAATGGTGAACAATCTTCATTTAATTCAACAAATTTATTTTTTGAGCTAATTTTTACAACAAAAGATTTACCAAGTAAGATCAATAGGAACACAAGTCTATAGGAACATGATGACATTTTTAAATGAATTAATTTGATGATATTTCATATTAGATTTTTAAACTAACATATATTCTATGTGAGAATAACTCACTAGTCTAGTAGAATAATATAGCTAGTTTACGCACTGAATTTTACCATAAACTTAGGCCAATGTTTTACGATCACGCTTAATGAGAATAAGGCATACGTTAAAGTCCATCGCGGTGGTATCAAATTCGGAAATTTGAATGGCCATTTTGGATAAGTATTTTCCTCTACGTTTTGGTAGGCGTAATATTATGTACGAATTTCATTGTATACTGCGCCTACCTGATATCAATTTACAGCTGTTTACAACTCCAAACTGTGTAAAACGACAGTATACAGTATCTTTTTTTTCTGGCCGTCGTCTCGATGCCTGTAATCATGGTTGTTGGATCTCATCAGGCGATCATTCCGATTGTCAAAAATGATAACTTAAAGACTGAGTTTTTTCCATTTTTTTTTCACTTGGGTGAGTTGTATACCGTACCGCATTACAGACAAATCCAGCTTGTTTTTGTATCGTAAACAGCAAAAGATATGGAGAGCCGAAATCATCATCCCGAGATCTAAATGTTTGCTGTTTTTTTTCTTTTTTTCACAAATCCTATTGATTAAACATAAATAAACTTTAGGTAATGAATTAACTCGACAAAATCGTTTATTAGCATTTATATTAATAGTTGGTTTAACTACACTTTTATTATTATTTCTAATTGGTGCGTTACTTTATTATTATAAATATGGTCGAAGTGATATGAAAGCTTCGATTTCAAAAAATCCAAATTATGGTTTGTTAATTTTTCACTTTGTTTGATTTATACTTTTGAATATTATATTTAGAATTGTATACACCTGATCGATGGGAAATTGATAAAGATTCTGTTACATTAGATAAACTTATTGGCCAAGGTCATTTTGGTCAAGTTTATCAAGGTGTTTTGAAATTACAAGATGGAACATTAAAACCATGTGCAATTAAAGTAAACAATTAGTTGTTTTTTTAGAATAAAATCAATTTGAATTTTCTTTTTGTTCAAAGCTTCGAACAACACATCCAACTGATTTATTACAAGAAGCATCAATAATGAAGTTTGTTTAGACCATATACAAAAAAATGAAATTCTTCTAAGTTTCTTTTTATTTTGTATAGACAATTTCGATGTTATCATGTAATTCAATTATATGGAATATGTTCACGTATTCGACNGGTGTCTTTTTTGTGACATAACTTTTCCTACTTATGTGCGTATTTTTTTCATCATAGTATAATATACATGGTTTTTCTTTTTTCTATCACAGGGTCGAAGTTTGTCCATGACAAAGAAGCACAAGGATACATCTCACGTTTCATTATTCTCATAAAGCAATATTATATTTATATAAACGAAAACGTTGTTGATTTTGCCATCAGCTAAGTACGTACATTGATTAAAAAAAGCGATAGTCGATGTGAAAATATTCTATCAAATAGTATTGAATACAGCGTAATAACGATACTAATACCAAGACAAATAAAAAAAAAAACATTTGCGATTGTGCGCATCAAGATATAGATTTCATTCACGAGGCATTAAGTTCGAATAATGTCATCTGATTACCCTACTTCACGCGCACAAACAACGAGCACTGTTGATTCACCAAAATATTCTGGAATTATGCGGAAGAAAGTTCATGTAGCCGATCTAAGTGAGATATACGGACCTAAACAACTTGGGATTGTTGCAGATGAGAAGATCAAAAAAGGTGATCTTATTCTAGAAAATGATCCGGTTACCTCAATCTTTTACCCATTCGACGATAAACGTTGCAGTTATACTCTCGAAGAATTCAATCGACTGGTCAATGAGCAGCAAGATTCTGATACAAAGAACTATCTGATGAGATATTCACTACAATACAATGATAAGAATGTATTCGTACCTCGAAATTATCTAACACGTGATATGATGGATTTTACTGCGCTCTTGAATCATTCTTGCGATGCAAACTGTACTTCGACATATACCGATCAAGTTATTGCTCTGAAAGATATTGAACCAGGCTCTGTGCTTACGGTCGACTACGGTATCGGTATTACAGACGATATGTTATTGATACCTTTCACCGTATGTCACTGTGGTGCATCGTCATGCACAGGAACTAACGTATTTCAACGTTACAAACAGCAGGATTGGCAACAAAAGTACTATGATTATTGTTTTCCGTATGTCAAGGCAAAAATCGACGAGATTCACAAACAAGAAAACAAAAAATAAAATGACTGAGCAAAGCACTCTCTTTCCATGTATAATGGATGCTTCTATACTCAAATTTATACTTGATCATTGTCGAATAAAAATTTTCATGCGTTTGAATGAGAAGAATAGTGTAGTTAACAGTTTTTAATATCCTATATATCTACAAGATCAATCTAAAGAGAGCGAAGTCAACAAAAATAGACAAATATCATACGAGAATAATCACTCGTCACAAGTGTTATTTAACTATGTTCCAAGTACAGATCGACGGTTTTTAAAGATGAAAAGTTACTTATTATTTATAACAAAAAGAATTTCATGTATTCATAACTGGCGAATAATCGAACTTTGAGGATAGATAGCCGTAGAATGATCGGGAAATTTTTCTATATTCCATCAGGCCGATCCCGAACCCGGTTCGACCCATGTCTAAAATTTTTCCGTTTTTCCAATAATAATCATTCATAAAAAAAAAACTTAATAAAACAGTACAATTAAAATTCTATACTGTCATCGAATATCATTGTTTTTTGTTTTTGTAGCTTTTTAAATATACAATATTCATTATGGCATCCAGATATTGCAATCTTTTTCAGTCAATGAACAAAATCATATTTCATTGATAAATTCTTTTTGTTCTAATTTAATTGACTCATTAGATCAAACCGAACACTTGCATGCAAACCATTTCACTTTATCAACGTGATATTTTTATTAAAGAACTGGATTCAAAATCTGGTGATTATTTTGAAGTCAAAGGTCGTCCATGTTGTGCTCTTATAATGCAATTATTTATTCACGAGCATCAGTTCGATCGAAATATTTTTGTTCGGTGTGATAAAAAGGATCGCTTATATAGTACATCAAATTTATTAACACCGCAATCAAGAACTAATGAAGATAGTCTAATTAAATAATGTTCAACAACTGATATTAATAATTATTCGAATGATAGAACAAAAACATATCCTTATGCTACAATACGTATTCTCAAAACAATTTTAAAAAATTACGAAACAATGAAATTAAAAAAAAAGCTTACAACTTAGATCATTTTGATAGTTGACGACTTGAGAAAATCTACATAAGTTTATCCACAAAATGATAATAATCAACTATGTCGTTTACCATTGGAACTTGGTTGAAGTAAAGAATGACAAGCTTATGATGAATCGGTAAGTTTTTGAATTATAATTAGCAAAAAACTTCGTGTTATTTACTCATGTTCTAGTTATCTCAAGCGCAAGGAAATGAAAAAAGAAATTCATGCATGAGAAAAACGGTATCTTCCAATTATGAATAGATTTTATAAATATGATTATAATTCATCATACGAAAAATGGAGTCAGGTTGCAACGATCCAGCTCGTGTTGATAATGATCGTATTTATCTGAACGAACATCTATACAAACAACTTTTTCAATAGATGATTAAGAAATGTGGTACATTAACATATTCTAAATTATCTTTACCTATTTCAATTCACTTCGAAATATTGTGTATTTTTAGCTATAATGATTCAGTGTGTTGCATGTTGAGAAATTTCAGAGAATGGTGCAGATATGCAGTTATATTTTTGCTTTCTTTACATTACAAAAAAAATTAATTTTAGCCATTATTGGTTCTCTTGATTCATTGTGTTCTCAAACAGCTGTATGTATTGAATTATAATCGTCATTTAATTCAAAAGTTACCAACTAAACTGGTGTTTTATGAAAATGTTAAAGACCTTAGTGTTTTTTTGTCTTTGATACGTTTGTTACTAAAAAAACTTATTTAGAAGTTGACAATGAATAATTTCGAAAAATTCTTGATTATGAATTACTTGCAATTCGTCTAGCATTTACTAATTAGTAAGTTATTCATACATTCTTCTAAGACTGTATTTTTAAAATCATCTTCGTTTAGAAATATATGTTGATCAAACTCGACATCATTTATTGACATTTATTATTGCCTAAAAACGTTATAATATACGTTTGTTTTACCTACAATCCAAATTTCAATCAACAAACTTATAAAAATTCTCCAACATCGAAAAAAAATGGTGGTAATCAACCACTACATTATTATGTTCTTTGGAGTGATATTGTTTTTATGACCAGTGAACTGCTTTATGTTCATGAAAATCTGCAAAAGCAATCTATACTTGCTTAAATCTCATCCATAGTTTTTCTACAAGTTTTGTTTTTAATTATTTCATTTCTACATCAACAATCAAAAGACTTGGTTTTTTAACTAATAAAAAAATTGCCAATAACAATTTGAGAAAGATCGTATCAATGCAAAACTTTTAAGTTGTACTTTTTTGTTGAAAATGCGTTACTAATATATCAAGAGTCAGTAAAAGGATTGCTATTCTGCAAGATAAAGTCATAGACTCTAACATTTTAGACTTTTCACAGTCTCAAAATACTCTATTGAATGATGCATAAATCAGTGAAAATGAAGCTGTATACTTCTCTCGTTAGTTGAACATACTGAATATTACCATATTCGAATTGATGAGTTTTTGGTAGGTCAATTCTCGATTAGTCATCGTTCGAGAATATATTGAAAATCAGTATCTTAAAATTTTGTCATCTTGAGCCTCAAGATTGGGTACACATCGTTTCTGCAAACTCACATTCACACCCATCCAGGAATCGATTTCAAATTAAAAGGCAAGTATTAAAAAACAACTTAAGGAACCAACAGTTTTTTTAAATGTATTTGCTCTAAAAGAAATTAACAAGCAGTGAGAGTGATAAATTATGAGATACGTAATGAAAAGAAGAACCTTTACCACAGTCCTTGTCTTTCTAGGACACCATATTCATTCATTATGATTAATTGAACTATGAGAGCGGGGAATATATATGTTCAATTTTACGGATTAGTTAATGAAAAAATTTCCAATACTGTTAATTCACGACTGTACACATAAAATGCATCCAAAGTGCTTGTAAATCCGCCTCCATACAGGGGCAAATATCCACTTATGCCTAGATTATTTCCTATAGTTACTTAGACGAAATCATCCTCACCAACATAGTTGAAAGTCTCTGAAGTTGAAAACAAAGTTCCATTAATATCGAGTCTCATACCATTGCTCGAACTGTATGTAAAACCGAGATGAGTCCGAGTGTTGAGAAAAAGGACAGGATCTGATACTGTTACGGAAGCATCGTTATATGAGTTCACCATGATATTACCATTCGATGTCATCGTTATGAAACCAACACACCAGCATGTTTGATGTACAAATAAAAGCGTTGATGCCGCATAGATGTTTGTTGACTTTATCCATAAAGAAAATGTGTGTGGTTGGGTGAATTTTCCCAGTATGATGAATGATGGATTAATTATACGAACATAGGCGATTGAATTGAATTGAAGTGCCTGATTAACTATTCCCATTACGACTGTTAGAATTCCTATTGCCGTTGCATTAATACCATTTGGATCATTATCAACTGTTGAACCGTTATCAAATGAATAATAGACGATAAGAGTTGCATCAGGCAAAATCTCATTGGCATTTTTTGCTCTCGATACGAATTGCATTTGATCAAGGTAACCATTGAAATAGTTCGAACCTGGTGACGTCAACTAAGTAACACCAATTGACGTATCTTCTGATGAACCTTGAAAAGCCACCGATGCGTGAGAACCATCAAGGTCTTGATTTATGGTGAATGATGTTGCACCTGAAATGTCATTATTTTGAAAGCCGAAATACAATTTATAGTTACGAACGATGAAGGGCATGCATTTGTTGGTTACATTTGCTTCACGTTGACTGAAAAATACCACAGTCACATGTCGTAAAACCGATTGGATAAATCCATGTTTCAATTGTAAAACTTGACGAATAGAATAATCTCTGCACGACTAAAATATGAGACACGATAAATCCATGATGACCGACCAATAAGATTTGTTTATTGTAAACTAAGTGCAAATGAATGAGTAAGAATGAAGCGGACACCCGCACATTCACCAGTTCTCACAATGTAAATGACGCTAAGTCAATGTATTAAATCAGGGGCTCGATGCATCATGCTTATCAAGGTTGATAATATTATGATTAACTACATTAGCAAACACAGAGATAAAGCACATGCATTGACCTTACAGCATTTCTACCTTCTCGACAGAGCAACTAAACGAACTTTTTTCACCATACTGCTGGAAAGAGTAGTAAACAATGACACATACGCTTGTTTCTTATCTATACACACCATGGTAGCATTGGTGTATATGAAATAAGGTAGAAGTCATTTGTAGTATACACCTAAACGAAGCTATAAAGTAAGTGCACATCGATTAGAACTCCATAGAAATGTATGCTATTTTTCTACATCTTAAAATTTGATTTTCTTGCTCGCTTGGTCAATAAAGAAAAAAAATGAAATGAAATATAATTTCGGCTTTACTCCGTACTCTAGTAGTGAATCACTGTTGTTGGCTTTAACTGCCATTATTTGCTAGCATGCGAAGTGGTGAACGTAGGCGAGTCATTATTTGAACATTGACGCGATGCATTTCATGAATTCAATGTAGAACTCTAAATGCGTAATGACAGATATTATAATTCTGATCTTGGTCCATTCTACGAACCCATTTTTTTATTGTTTTTAAAAGGAAAGAATACAAATTTTCGCACGTAGTTTCTTTTTCACAGACACTTGTTCGAAACTCTCTCAACAGATTCTGATAGTGACGAGACTGCTTACCAGATTTTTCATATAGCTATGCAACACGTTTCGCAGATAGAGCATCAGCGTTACATAAGCAACTAGCACTTGGCACCCTTACCCTTAGCAATACTCCTGTTAGCAGTGATAATGATAAGGTTTCTGCAGTGAAATATAGACGATATTCGCTTTAGCTTTTTAGATAAGCGATTCGTCAGAAACAATCTAGAGAAAAAAGAAGAATCGTATTCAATCGAACATTAATATTTTGCAGGGGTTCTTCAATCAATCATGTCGGCAAAAGTTCATGATACGAGTATCGATAATGATAGTGATAAACTTTTATCGGTCAAAAAATCATATTTAATTTCAAAAAATGCTTTTTATATTGGAATATGCGCTATTATATTGATCATTTTGATTATCACGATTGCGGTTATGCGTAATCTCACACTAGCAATGTTATCGTTGATCATCATCAGCATCATAGCAGACATTTTTATCATTGGGTTACTTTCTGTACGATTTCGGAGAGAAATCAAAAACAAAATTACACGATCGTTACAAACTGAAACCAATATTGTTACACGAATAGTTAATGCAACAAATGTTGCTTTAACGATATTGATACTTCTATTATCGGCATCTGTCATGGCTCCATTAAATTTCGGTTATGGACCATTTGCAACATTTGTACTATTTGTCATTTATATGTCCACTCTCATTTGGATAATCACTCTCATAATCTACGTCTTGATCATTGTCATTCGTTTTTTATGGAATAAATGCTATTTCATTCGACAACAATTATCCCATGGCAGTTTTTCGTTTTTTATGGGAAATATTCTAACATTATTTTTCTTTATGACAATAACGGCCATGATAGGTGGTTCTACCCTAACTGGTTTAGGACTTGGAATTGCTCTAGCATTGAGTCATATGCTATTTATCAGTGGTATCATAGTGATTATTTTTCATCAACAAAAACGAATTAAAATCGTTCATTGTTTCTTGCTGCGATTGGCTGTGTCGGCGTTATTCTTGTGCTATGGTACTATTTGATCGACGGTGTCAATCAAAAAATTATTGTAGTAATACCATCGGAAAGGTACCCACGTAATCTGACCCATGATCCCTCTCTAAATGGAAATTATTCGTATACTTTTTTTACTTATGGTAGTGGTTTCGATCATCGAAGTGAATACGGAACGAAAGCTTCTATCATAACACCAACAATAGATCTATCATCTATAATTACACTATCATCATTCAATAGACGTGCATTCAAGTACAGTGAATCTGCGTTGCCTCTCAACGGCAGAATTTGGCACCCTATCAAATCAAGTAATCAAACAGGCTCATATCCTGTAGTAATTCTACTTCATGGCAATCACGCCTCGACAGGATCCAGCGAGTTGGGATATGATTATCTGGGAACAATGCTTGCTAGTCACGGTTTTATTGCCGTATCAATCGATGAAAACTTTTTAAATGTAGCACCGACATTTTCTCCCATAGGATACGGTAAAATATCGACTATCAGAAAGTATGGTCTCAATTTTCATAGCGGACCCGAATTGATGGCCCGAGCAATCATCATTTTGGAAACACTAAAGCAATTACGACAATGGACTAATGAATCCAATAATCGACTTTATAACCAAATCGATGTATCCAATGTCGGTTTGATGGGTCATTCGCGTGCTGGCGAAGCTATTGTCATTGCACAAGTGTTCAATAAACTAAAATTCCTGCCTGATTATCCTGGAGGTGTTTCATTCACGGATTATGAGTTTGGAATCAAGGCATTATTTTCCATTGGCGGTACAGACGATGGTTATATGCCACTCGGACATAGTCTTATATCAGAAGATGTTACGATGTTTGGTATCCATGGTGTATATGATGGAGACTTATCATCATTTCTTTTCCAAGCAAAATTAAGACATTTACGTTTTACATCGAATAGTAGTCAATACAATTTCAAAGCATCCGTGTATGTCCATCAAGCAAATCATGGACAATTCAATACAGATTGGGGACGATTTGATCTCATTCCGGGTGCAAGTCGCTTCATGAATGTCCATCCGCTATTGACAATGTTACAACAACAACATATATGTAAAATTTATATGGCTGCTTTAATGAATCTTGTTCTAAAAAATCAAACGCACTATCGAGCTCTATTTGAAGACTATCGTTCTGCAATGTCTTATTTACCGTATACAAATTATATATCCACATTTCAAGATTCGAATGAAACAGTTGTGGCTGACTTTGAACACTATGATGTCACGCAAGGAACAATAACAGGTTCGAAAGTTAGCGTTGTTAATTTATTACACTGGGGCTCCGCCTACGTTAAAGTGTATCGTTCAGCGATGCTAGTCTTACAGCCCATGAATAACTCCGTCGGAAAATATGCCATTCATTTTCAAAATGCCATAGCTGGATCTTGGATTCGATTTCAGGTTTGTAGAGCACCGGAAGGACTGGTGGACCATTTGACAGTACAACTCTTTTATGACAATGGAACATCCGACTCCTTCGTAGTCAATGTGCTTCCAGCCCTTGGTAAACGAATTTTCAAGGCCAGTTCAACAGAATATGTAACTGCTATACAAACCATTTCTCTGCCATTATTACGTCCTATGGTTGGTTTAGAATTCATAGTTGACGGTGTCAATGCACAATTTTTAGTTGATGACATTGTTTTAGCAAACTAATTTTGTTTATCATATCTTCTTTAATGAAAAAAATAGCTTAAATCGATTTGTTCTTACACATACTTGTGGGCGTCGGTGGGTGTGGGTATTAGCGGGCAGGGAACACTAGCAACTCGCTGTATAACTATGGCAAGTCAATTAGAATCCGACAGAACAAAAAAAATTGATACGTTTCATTGAGTTTTATTGACTTTTCACAGTTGTCCAGCGGTTCGCTAGTACTTCCAGTCCGCTAATGAGTGTGGGTGTAGATGTGGATTTAGGCGTGAGAGTTCAGTGAGCATGGGTGCTGTTGTATAGATATGGAACTTTTCTTTGCCTGCACACTTATATCACCATCCAGCTACACCACAGTTATAACTGATCAAGAAAAACTAGAGTATGGGTTTGAGTGTGGGTGAAGTGTGCGTGTAAGATAGTCTATAGAGTGTCCGTATTCACATCCAACATTACGGACATTGTATTTATCTATACGATAGTTAACATTAATGCTTATTTCTGTACTTTATCTACAAATATAAATGTTTCAGTTTGTGATTTAGAAAAAATATGTATAATTTGATTGTTTTTTTATTTTGTTATAATATTTTTTTATGAAAGCGAAAAATAAAAATTTAATGTTTCGTGCGCAAGTTTCAGTACACATCTTTCGTATAGCTCCCGCTCCTAAACCAATGGCACTAGCTAGGACGTCCAAGTTTCGTTTAGCTACATGTTCGTAAGTGATTTACTTTGACGTTAAGATTAGAGGAACAAGGGAAGGAATCGACTAAAAATGTTCTAATTGAATAGCAGCCGTACGCATGCATTTGTACTCAGGATTTAACAAACATCTCGGATCGAAATTCGTAGCATGGGTTGGGATGTGTGTTTTTCTCGCAAAACCCACGTCTACATCCTCCCCCGTTTACAACTCTCGGTCGGAGTGACATAGCAACTTGTGAATATCTTATTGGTATATCTCTCGAAATGCTTAGTTTAAAATACTCTTCACAATAACTAGTTTCTATTTGAAGGCAACGACAGTTATTTTGCATAAATCGATTGTTGTCTTTTTATTTATTTATTATCGAGACTGATTTTTCTATTCATATGATAAAATGAAAATTTTAAATTTTATTAAGAATAATTTTAAATTTAGTTTTTAATTGAATTCTTCTATAAAATGAACCAAACATGGAACAAAAGATTTTATTTTCTAAGAGCAAATATAATAGCAGCTATGACAAAAAATCCCAAACTCCATGCACTAGCATTGACAAAACCAAACCATACCTTAAAATGCATAAATGACCAGCCTAAATATTACATCATTTTATTTATTTATTAAAATAAAAAAAAATCGAATACCTCTAGCAGCAATGCATCGCATTGCTTCAACAGGATGTGTTAATGGTGTAAAATTACTTAGAAAAAGCATTACTGATGGCATTCCTTCAAGTGGCCATATTATACCTTTAATTTTGAATTATTTATCAATAGAGAAAAGAAAATTATGTTAAAAACGGAAACAACCTGAACTAAGTAATATAGGAAAAACACTTCCAAGTGCAACTTGCATAACTTGAATTTCTTGTTCACATAAGGAAGATATTAAAAGACCTTAACAAAAGATAAGTCATTTATTGTTTATTAAAAAAATATTCTTTTCTTACCGTAACTCATTCCACAAATTCCTTGAATAAAAATTATTGCCGCTGCTAAGAAGATTGAGCCTTTAATTTCAACCTTAATTCAAAAATAAAATAAATAAAAACTATAAAAACCAAAACAAACTTTAAATATGTAATCAGCAAAAATAAGTAAAAGTGTTATTTGAATAAATTGAATAAAAAATTTAACAATAATATGTGCAAGCATAATTTCAACCGTGGTAACACCAGCAATCCAACTGCGTTCTAAAAGACCTTCCTTTTTTTCAACAACAAATATTAATGCTGTTAAACCAATTGCCACAAAAAATATTATTGATATCATCATTCCTGGTGCAGCAAAATTTAAAAACTTTGGAACAAGGCTTCCATAAAGAGGATTTTCTATTATTACTGGCGGATCAGCTATTGATGGATCAATTTCATGACTTGATAAAACTTCTTTTAAAAATAGCTCTGTACTATTTACTAGAACACTTTGCATTGTTAATGATACTTGTTGATCTTAATATAGAAGGCAAATATTTCATTTCACATTTTGTTCAAGGATTTAAACTAAACAGGATTTCATAAGTATTCATGCGTAATACTTATCTGAACCTCCGAAAGATTATTACAAGTCTTTTGTTGTTTTTTAAGCGTTTTCAACGAAAATTTCAAGTTAAATTGGTTTCTGAGCACCGTTTTCAAAAGAGCAATACGTCACAATTCTGTGACGCATCGTCGACGAACCAAGAGGAAACAAGCGTACTTCTATACTGAAAATTCTTAGATATACACGATTGAAGAACAGACAATACTCTAACGAATTCTATTTAAAGAAAAAATAAACATACGTGATTTCCGAAATATACCGACTAAATATGGGCAATCTGGTCCCAATCCTACCGAGACCGCGACCAATTTCCTTTTAAGTAGGACCAGGATCGGAGTAAAAAACGAGTGGTTCTTCTCACGTCTAATACTGGCATATAAAGTACAGTCATTTAGTAAAAAATTCGCTTTTCCTTTTTACAGAAGATATTCGTGTTAAAATATCGACTTACTCGTCATATCAAGATAAAGATGAAGCGATGATGCATTTAACGTAGCTGGATCTGTCCGAAATGCAAATAATCTTTAAAATAAAAAATAAATAAAAATCAAATGTAATGAGAAAAACTGCGAACTTATTTTTGATTGCTTGTGTGAAATTGTATTGAATAGCCGCAGCACCCCAATACTGTCCTTGTTTAACAAGATCAATTGCTTTATCAAAATCGTTAAATGATGTCTTCAATTTTTTGAAAATAAAATAAATTTGAATGAAAAAGATAAATATTCCAACATACAAAATGAATTTGTTCAGAATTTATTTTATTTAAAAGTTGTAAACTTAAATTTCCTGTTGGAAATCCATTTACTGCTTCACCATTATAAAGTGCCATTGAAATATGTTCAGCATTGCCTAAATATCATTTTTACAATAATTTAAAATAAATAAAATATCCAATTAACTTACGTCCAATACAAAGGCAAAAAAGTGAAACTTGGATAACAGGAATTAAAAACTGAAACAACAACAAACTAAAAATAAAACAACATTTATTAATAAAAGAAATCTAAAAAAATTTACCCGATAGTTCTTTTAATTACTGTTACATCTTTCAACATTAATGCATAAATTTTATGCATATGAGGAAATTTAAAATAATCAGCTGCAATTTGTTTTGCATATATTAAAGCTTAACAAATGTATTTGATTTCTTATTTCTTGTTTTCAATCTAAACTTACAATTTTTTCTAATTTTGTTTTCTTGGTTGTCCGGTATTAGAAGCTTTCGATCACTTGTATTGCTTGATACAGAAATAGAAGTAGTAGGTAAATCTGGATTGTCAATTTCACTGGCTATATCAGTATCTCTGTCACCATCGTTATTATTCATTGCAATTTGTTGTTGAATACGATTTTGATCTTGAAAACATAATTGAAGAAAAACACTTTCTAAACTCTAAAACAAAAGTCATCTTTTGATTTAATTGAATTATTTTAATAAAAATGAAAACCAACAGTTTGATTGTATCTATTTAAAAGAGCAGATGGTTTATCTTCGGCTAACATTCTTCCACTTCGCATAAGTCCAACCTAAATAGAAGTATTTTTAATTTTAATTCAAAATAAAATAATAACAGAAACTTCTTACTCGATCAGCTTTTCTTGCTTCCTCGATATAATGAGTTGTTATTATTATTGTTGTTTTAAATGTTTGAGATATATTTATAAGATGACTCCATATTCTTTAGAAAATTAAAATAAAATGACAAAATAATAAAATCATTAACTGAAAAACTTTTCTCGAAGTAATGGATCAACTCCAACAGTTGGTTCATCAAGAATTAATAATTGAGGTTGTTGAAGAAGAGCACATGCTAATGATACACGACGTTGTTGACCACCACTTAAACAAAAAAAAGCATAACAATGTTTTACTCATTAAGAAAAAATGTTAAATTAAACCTTAATTGTGAAACTTGTTTTGATTTTGCAGGTAAATCAAGAAATGAAGTAAGAAATTCTTCTCGTGATAAAATATCTTTTCGCTTCATATTATGAAGACGACCAAAATAATGAAGCATTTCTGATATTGAAAAATATCTATAAAGTGCTGTTTCTTGTGGCATATAACCGACTGCTCGACCAGGAACTTCATGTCCATGAGTACCTGGTCGTCTACCAAATACAACTATTTCACCACGATGTAATTCTAAACGTCCAACAATACATCGTAAAAGAGTTGTTTTTCCACATCCCGATGGACCCAATAAACCATATCTAGATTTCAATATTCATTATTTTATTTTCATAATTAAATAGCATACATTATTCCTGTTGGAACATTAACATTTATATCATGTAAAACTGTTATTGATTTCCACCAATGACCATAACTTTTCCAGGCATCTTTTACACAAACAGCCAAATCTGCTGATTCACTCTAGAAGAAAATCAAAACAAAATATTTAGGATTAATGAAAGTATTAAATCTAATTAGCAATTTGACATTAATATTTCAAATATAAAATAAATCTCAGAGCAAAAACATAGATAATATTTTTCTTTTATCAAATACATTTTTCTTACCGTCATCGCACACTCACGTTTATCAACTATTCTTAAAATGATAAAGTAACAAAGGCCTTTTTGCTGAAGAAATTCATCTGTTAAAAACAAAGAAAAAAACAAAAATGAATTTACTCCGTATTTGAATCATTCAATCAATAAAAATACTTTCATTATTTTTTAATTTTTTATTAAATTTATCTTACGAATTAATATGAGCAATTAGGTAATTTATTTCTGCGTTGAAAATAATTATTTCAAATATACGCATCGATTTTATTTTTGTGCTCAATGACATTATAATGAGAAGCAATCCAACCGTGGGAAGGTATTGTAGGTATCATATTCTCATTAGTATTGCGAGTTTATTTTACTTTTACCAGTCAATA